TCTCTAGGAATTCTCTCTGAATAATAGACTCTGTTGGGAAGTGCAGGTGGCTCAAGGCAACTCAAATCAATAACATTGGACCCAGCATTGACATAAGAAGGATTGAAAGCATTAGTAGAGGTAGAGTAGAGGTCATCTTCACCAGACTTCAGAATCTGTGTAGAATTCACTGCATTAGCCAATGAAGAGGCCTCTTCATAATGTTGGTGCTTGCCCTTGCTTTTTGAAGGCAATTTAGGTAGGTGCACCCCTTGTACAGCATTTGTAACTGATACTTCAGAAATATTACCTGGTAAATTTCCGTCAAATGGTTGTGTAGGAACAGGATATGGTGTTTCTGAGGATAAGCCTTTTCCAGAGTCACTTTCATGCTTAATGGAACTATCACCCCTTTTCTTTACCATCATTGCTGGCATTTCTGAATTTTGTACTTGCAACACATCAGGATGCCCTTCATTGATAATTCCTTGATTGCCAGGCACATGAGTAGGTGCAGAAACTGGAATCTGTCTAAAAGCTAAGTTGTTAGAAGAATCAACACCATAGTGCACTGGATATTGACTGGTGTCCCCCTGCTGGCTACTATGAAACAACAGATTGCTTTCATAAGCACTTGAGGCAGTTGGAATCATTGGTTGCGAAAACTGAATCCCCAATGATGAGTTAGCATCAGCAGCCAAGGAAGAACTAGCAGCTCCAGTTGATTCTATCTGTGCTCTACTGGCCTCCCTCTCAATATTCTGTCCATCTAGTTCATGTAAATTATCAGTGGAAGCACTCACAACATGAAGGACTGAATGGTTCCTTGATCCCAAGTCCATGCCATTAACAGCCACTACATACTGGACTTCTGTATCACCATCAACACTAGGATCATCCATATCAACCGTGGAAAACAGAAACATCCTAAGTTTTTGTGATCCTTCTCTGTTTTCTAGATCATGGCATTCCTCCATCATATTTCGCAGATCCTCATCACTAGATACAGAAACCAAGGCATCAAGATCTTCCCCAGGGAGCTGATACTTTATAAGATGAGTTTCGTTATAGAGTGATAAGGCTTTCTGCATAAGCTCCTGCCAACTTATGTCCTTTCTGATACAAATAATACGTGTTTCACCTCCAACATATCTAAGCTTTCCATCACTGGGGCGTGGCAATATTCTACCACCAAAACTACATAGAACCTTCATCTTCATTGATGAGCGGTTAGAAGCTCCAGAAGAAGCAAGACCATGAAGGACACGATTATTTTCTTGATTAGATGAAGTTCTAGGGATTGATCGAACTGACCCATAATTGCTTCTGTCCCGTTGCATAGAAGAGCCTCTTCTGTCAAATTCTTTGGGAACTTTTTCAACTTTTGGGAGCATAGAAATATCTGAGCCACTTTCAGATCCTGAATGACTAATGCCTAAAATACCCTTCAATTCCATATAACCTGTTGCATAATTGGGATCACCCATGATATTTGGAAAGACAGGCTGCCCAAGATTCACTCTATCTCGCATAAATTCAAGAGCAAATTCCTCACCAGTCTGGATGGAGTAATTAAGTACAGGTTTTTTATCTGACATATTACGGTCAGCAGGCCTCATATTAATACGCATGCCTTCCAGGCGGTCTTGAAAGGTAGATTGTGGTGCAGAATGGAGTTCCTCATTTTGAGGTTCCATGGTATTGTATTGTTGCTGTTTCTGCATTCCAAGTTGTTCCATCATACCATGATTTATAACATTTAAATGCCAGGATTTACCGTGATGCCATGATAATGGGACAGCACATAACAACCACGTAGAAAGAATGAATCTGATGCTACAAATTTAGTTTATGAATCTCATAAACAGCAAAAGAAGCTTTACTGATTCCAATTCAAGTCACCATGATTAAATATGCCAATGTTTCAGTAACCTTCAGAACTTTCTGTGCTTACCACCACCCCTGTAGGCATAGCATAGAAAGAGTTTAATTGATTAACATAGATGTGACAAAAGACAAAAGCAAATACATAATAGTTGGAACAGATATACAACTGTAAATGACAAGAAGCATTATGTTCAATAAAATCACAAAACCATATCACCAAAAGTCTAGCTTCTGCTACATATACATACATACATATATATATATATATATATCACTACGATATTTGTAGGGTAACCAGAAGCACTATATACCATCAGGGCTTTGTTCAGTCTAACAGTTCAACCTTTGTGGATGATTTGGTTCTCAGGGAGTTTCAATTACATAGTTATTCTCTTAAGTTTTTGTTGCACTGTAACTTACTGTGTTGTATTAATTGAGTATTTTACATCGTGTTGGACATCATATAGTTATTTTTTACGGTACTTGAGATCCTCACAGTCCAACCAAGAGGATCATTTAATCTCAAAGATCAAACAAACACTCAAACGCTAATAGTATAGAATCCTAGAAGCATATCAAAATCAGCGACAAAAGGACGCAAAAATATTACCCATCATTTTTTCTTGCACAGCACATGCAAATTCCAAAGGAAGAAGAAAGAAAAAAGAATTATCAATATGGATCATCTATTCACGTGATCACTTCGGTTCCACCCAATTTCGATCTTAGAATCTAGAAGTAATTAAACTGGGCTTCCACTATCAAAGCACAAGATACATCAATCATAATTGGAAAACATCAGTTGACTGAAACGATCAGCTAGAAAAAAATTGAACATCATTTGAAACACGGCTAAATCAGTGAAAATCCCATGAAACCAAATCTATTGAGTACCTTATTGATGACAGTTCTTCAGGCTCAGTTGTAGCTCAAGAAGGATTGAGAGAGGAAGATGAAAGGAAGACTATGAGTGAACTCGAAAAAAAATAGATGAATCCAATTTCGTTTAATCCCCACTTCCTCCTCTATTTTTTTTTTTTATTTGTATTTCGCTTTCCCAATCTGTGTCTACCTTATTTTCAATGATCCTTCCCACATAAGATGATGACTCGCGCTCTCGCCCCGTTTCTGTTTCTGCTTCTGGATAAAATATCTTATTCTTTCAGCAAACAGTCATACTGAGTAAGCATGCTGCAAGAAACAGTTAACCGATCAAGGCCCAAAATTTTTCCAAACAAACATCTTGGCCGGCATTTGATTCTCTTTCTCTATTTATTTGTTTTTTCCATAATTATTTTTAAATATAATATATATATATATATATAAAAGATAAATCATTGATGATAAATTTATGAAAAGGATACCCGATATAATAATTTATGATTAATGACGATGATTAACTCCATAGAAGAAAAACATTTATGGACTAAACCATTAAAAAAATAGATCTTTTAAAACAAGTTACATATTTTTTTTTCCTTAAAAAGGTTAGCTTTTCTAAGGTCAGTGTTCTTTTGTGAGAATGTCTAAGGTCAGTGTTCTTTTATAAGAAGGTCTTCATAAAAGTTATGTAATGTTAAAAAGTTAATACGTGTTCTATAAAAAATGTCAATGTATGAGGATGTCTTTTGATGGTCTTTTTTCTTAAAACCTTAATTTGTTTTTTAACATTTAACTTAAATACTCTGGTCAACTGCCACATGGTACCTTTGGTAAATGTGGGTCAAAATCTTCTTTGAAAATACTTTTTGTAGTATATGCATGGCATTAAGAGAAAATTATTTTTTTTCATAGATATGGTGTATCAAATTAAGATTTGATCCTTTAATGTTTGTCAAACCAGTTGTTTATTTCCATTGGTTTAGTACACAGATAAAACATGAACCATGGGTGTAAGAATATTTTTGATACTCAAGTAAATAATTGTTTATCGTGGATTTATGGTTTAAACAAAAACAAAGAAAAATGATACTTGAGTCTAAAAAATTAATTTAATGATGTTAATAAGTGAGTTATAAATAGTGATTCAAATTTCAAATGGTTGCAATATGAGATTCTTGATTATAAATCAAATATTTAAAAGTAAGAGATTAATTATCATGATTTATAATTGAAATTCTCATATTTAAAACTATCTAAATAGATATATGCAGCTCATCTTTTAGGTGAATTTTTAGAGCTTAATTATTGTTAAATTAAACAAATCACATGCACAAAATATCTTATTTATAAATTATAATCCTGAAAATGATAAACTATAAGAGTTGATAAATGATTCATTCTTCAATTTAGTTGATATACATCTTGTAATCTGTGATAAGTAAATTCTTTTATAAGTGAAAGAATATTAAATTGTTAGTGTCTATGCCTTTAAATTAAAATATATATATAATTTTGCATTAGAAATTTCAAGGATTTAGAGTGTGTATATGGAAAAAAGTTCACGCCACAATGCCATTCACGAAATTAATGATTAAGAGAGAATTAAATGGTTAACATGTTCAATAAATGGTATACCTTTCTTGGCCTTTAGGCTAAGATCATGTGCTTAATAAATGGTATATATTTTTTATATCGTATTTAAAAAATACTTAGTATGTATGCATAAATATTTTTTAATTTTAATAGTTCTTGTCAATCAGATTGTATTCATTAAACTTATCAGAAATATTCCACCCAAGATGATGACTTTGCTGACACGGTAATAAATGCAAGGAAACTTTACATGGAATTTTACTTTTTAAAAGATTAAATTTCACCCATCACAATCCAACATCCCACTCACAAATTTATTTCAAATTACTATTTCTTAGTTTCCAAGTAACTTATTTAAAAATGCTTCTTTATTTTAATTTTGTGTTTGCTAGAATAACAAAAATAATATTTTTATAGTAAATTAAAATTAACTCTACCACCCAAAATATCCAACAATAATTTGAATGGTCCTTACAAAAGATAATCACTCCATATTCATTCTTTTAAGATGAGGATAAAATCCATATACGGTTTGCAGCACCTGAACTTCAATGCGCATTCCAAACTGATACTTTGGGATTTTGCTGGGCAATTAAAAATAAGAGAAATGAAAAAATGAATTATTATAATTATAAGTTCATAAAACTAGCACCACCTAGTAGAAAAGGGAAGAAAGGGCGTTCATTAAGGCTTCTGAAGGAAAAAATAATAAACCAGTCAAGAAGCAAAACTGAGCTTCTTTGAGGAAAGTTAATATACAAGAAAAAATTTGATCAGCTAATAGTATTTGGCTAGCCACCACCTCTAATATAACATCATACATCCTTGAAGTATAACCAAATGCATCAAAATCTGAGAGTAGAGAAGATCTCATACAGTATCAGTATCATCGTCCAATGATCACCTCATTTGGTTGGCTTGTGAGGCTGTGATTTGGTTTGGGAAGCAGAAGCAGACATGAACCTTAAGCGACAGGCTATTTCAGTGAAGGATGGCCTGGTTGCAGGGTTGGGTGCCCAACATTGCTCCATCAGTGTCCTCCATTCAGCATCACAAGAACTTGGTATTGTTGGCCTCAATGTGTTATTTACAATCCCACCTGCTTATTCAACAAAACTATATAAGGAGAAAGATAACGACAGTAATAACAAGTCTTATTCTACCTAGTAAGGTCTGCTATATGGACTACTCGATATCATTGTACTTTATCAACTACCCGATATGGTTGGTATGATCAGCAGAGAGCAAGCATGCTAGTTAAAGGCCTTTAAAGCCAGTGTCTCCTCTCAAACGCCATAGAAACTAAACTACAATTAGCACCGTTCTGTTAGCTGCTACTTATGCTCTATAAAGTAACACCCTAATTTTCTATATGTTACAAGAATGTTTCCATCCAAAAGGAATATCAGATTTATAGCATTCCTGTAAGAAAATCAAGTTGTTACTTTAGAAAGCATGAATGATAATTTTAAGAAGTGTCATGGCATCTTATTCATATGGTTGTTGAGAGGGGGAATTTAAAACATCTTTCTAACAACAAGAAAAGTAAGCTGTAACTTTAGGGAAGATCTAACCCCCCCCCCAAACAACCAAAAAAAAAATCCCAAAAGGAAGAAGAAACTTTAGGTAACATGAAAAATATCACCAAGTCCTTATTTCTATGGTCTTTGATAATATTTTGATTTTTAAGGTCTGAAGCTGTATTAATGAGTCCACCAAGGTCATCTTTTCTGTACACACACACACACACACACACACACATTCACGTTTATAATTAAGTTTTAGCTCAGGAGAAGAAAAAAACAATTCCCCGTATATTATTACAGAGTTGTCAGCGGTGAATCATGGCCCCAAAACCAAAATGGCTTAATAGCTGATAATGAATGAAAGGAGACAATATTTAAGATAAAATTTATAAGATCCTTAAATCTATTAAGAGGTTACTTAAATAGAAATGTAGAAGCCTATTTCAAAAAGATGCAACAAGATTTTTTTTGTATCTCAATCCATAATGGAGAGAAGATAAAGAAAAGCATTGAAAAAGATCGCACCTATGATTGCACCATAGTGCATATTGGCATATGGCTCCTCACCGGTCAAAATCTCCCATAATACTATGCCAAAGGAGAACACATCAACCTACAAATCAAAAGCATTCTCAGCTATCAACAGCTGCAAGCAACATAAAAGTAAAGAAAGCCAAAGACAAAGGATAGAAATAGGAAGATAAACTGAAGGAACCATCTGTTTGGATGATCATAAAAGAGATGAAAATTTACAGCATATGAGCAAAAGTTTTTTATACTTTCACCAAGCTTTAAAGCTGTTATCTGAAGCGACAGGAGTGGAAGAATAAAAATGAAATACAACATTTCAAGAAATACATGAAATAGGACAAAGTGCCGGTCCAGGTTAAATTTACTCAAGCAGATAGAATTAGACAAGAATTTCATCTCAAGACAGAAGGTAGGTTGCTAAGAACTGGACTGGCAAAGAATGAATTTTAAATAGTTGAGACTTAAGAGATGGACAAATTCCAACATCTAGAGGTAGAGCTATAAACAGTTAAATTATATGGATCCCACTTCTTTGCAGTGCTACTACAGAAGAGCATTTCATGAGATAAGACTTACCTTTTCTGAGACTTTGTTGCTACTGCCATTCAGCAGCTCTGGAGCCATCCAGGGAAGGGTCCCCCGCACACCGCCAGAAACCAATGTATTTCGTTTAATTTTTGACAAGCCAAAATCACCAACCTGAGAATAAAATTTCTCAGTTTTCTCAACAGTTATAGACATTAGGGAAATTGTGGAATAATAATATCGGCATAAATACCTTGCATATTGGCCTCACAGGGTCTTTCAAGTTCACAAGCAAATTGTCACATTTCAAGTCAAAATGCACAATATTTTTTGAGTGCAAATACTCCATACCAAAAGCTGCATCCATGGCAATTATAAGCCTCTTGCGACGATCTAGATACCTGCAATCAAAATCATGATCAAATCCTTGGAGATAATCTATCTAGAAAGCATGAGATCATCACACAGACACGTTCATTGACATGAAAATATTAGTTTTCATGGCTAAGGCAGCTACGTGATTGTGAAAGCTATACTAACAAACAGAAAAATGGTTTGGCTTCCATCTGAGAGACAATGTTGTATTAGCTTATGACATTCACTTTATTAAATGTAAGGAGAAACTGAGGTAGTATGCCACAATCAGGTAATATCACAGCAGTATTGCACGAACATAATTACATTTTGAGTTTACAGGTTGAACGAACTTGGTGAGAGAAATATATTAACTCTATCTGGATCCATTACCTATCCTTGCGAAGTAATACATGTCTAAGAGAACCATCTACCATGTACTCTGTCACAGTAGCCATCGTTCCTCCTGGTCCATCCTGGACTACACCATAAAATGCCAGAACATTTGGATGATGAAGCTTGGAAAGAATGTCAGCTTCCCGCCAGAATTCTACAGTCTGAGAAAAGAAGCAATTATCATCAACTCTCATGCCTCAAATATATATACCATTCTCGTTTATGTAGTTTCCTTTAAGCTAAGACATCATAAAGAAAAGAAAGAGCAAGCCATCCAATAGTTACCAGTCTCTCTTGCTCAGATGATCTACCAGTGAAACAGATTTTCTTTATTCTTTTAATGGCAACATCGGTTCCTCGCCATTTTCCATGATACACAGTTCCAAAGGTTCCAGAACCCAATTCCTTCAGTTCTTCAAGATCTTCATTATTTATGACCTACCAATTGCAGGGAGACAAAACTCTATAACAAAACATGAAGGTTTGAGACCAGTGATTAAGATAACATAGATATACAAAGCCTGTCAATATTTCTACACACTATAAAACTTTACTTTTATTGCCTTATTTTCCTTAAAAAAACCTATTGGTTTTGCTTGATGAGCCCAACTTATTAATTTTATCTCCGTTTTTAGCTGTCTTTGGAGGCAAGTCTATGTTACACATCATAATATTTTTCTATAAGAAAGCCCTTATTTCATTGTAAAAGTAATTATTCCTAGACTTGTGCTTGACCATTTAAGCTTTTAGATGAAAAATATCAGAAATAGTGCGATATCAGGTACTGGTTAAATAAGCAGTCTATAAGTAAATTTCAGCACAAGTTATTGTTGAGATATAAACAAGGTAATAGTGAGCCTGCACATTTATTGACCTTCTAAGCCCATTGGATTTCATGTTGAGAACTGAGCAACCTTTGTACATAGACAAAACCATCCTCATATCAAAACTAAACCAAAATAAGCTTCTAAAGTGGTTCTTTGACAATGCATGTCAGCATGTGCGCTTCTTATTTGCAAGAGTGTTCCACAGCACAAATGTTCCAAGAATCATATATATTAACATACATACTCTAAAATTTTGCTCACTCTATCAAGACACAGTAATTTGGAAGTGAAATTGGGAGATCAAATGATACTTCAAGTGAAAAAGTTTAAATATTTGGGAGCCATTATTCAAAATGATGGCAAAATCAATGGGGACATTTCACATAAGATTTAAGTTGGGTGGTTTAATTGGAGAAAGCTAAATGAGTTATTGGCGACTGTAAGGTGCCTAATAAACTTAAAGGAAAGTTTTATCGTACTACTATCGAACTGGCTATGTTATACAGTAGTAAATGCTGGGCTTTAACAGGACAACAAAAACATAAAGTTGGAGTAGCAGAGATAAAAATCTTACGATGGATGTGCAGACATATACGTAAAGATAAAATTCGAAATGAGTACGTATGCAAAAAAATGAGGGTAACACCTATTGAAGAAAAAATAGTAGAAAATCGTTTGAGACGGTTTGGGCATGTACAAAGAAGATCGCGAGAGATACCAGTGAGAAAAGTGAAACATATAACTTTGAACTCTGTTAAGAGGGGTAGAGGAAGGCCTAAGAGAACACTCTTGGAAGTTATTGAACGCGATCTCTCAATTAATAATATTTCTAAAAACTTGATAAATGATAGAGCACAATGGCGTCTTGCAATCCATGTAGCCGACCCCACCTAGTGGGATAAAGGCTTGTTGTTGTTGTTGTTGTATCAAGACCCAATATTTGCCAGTAGCTAAAAAAGACAAAATTCATTTATATTATCAACATTCCAAACAAGTAAAAAGATATCATGACTCTTAACATTTGAGTCTGAAAAATACTAAAGAAGATCTTCCACCATCTATAGGTTTCTCACATCATTAACGCAGTATAATTTGTAAGATAGAGAACTTCAATAAAAAAAAATCTTCCAAACATATTTCAAAATTTAGGGCAAGAAATCTGAGAATTAAGTTAGCACATAACGGAATGCCTATATAAACTCTTATTACTAGAGAGATGTCCTAGATCTGAATGCTTATACTTCAAGAAGAAAGCGGATCTGATGACTAGTGTGATGGCTTAATAAAAATCAAGATGACCACAACTGATCCAGCATCCATCATGCATGTAATCCCCATAGCAGATCAAGGAAATTGATGCCCCTACTATTGTTGTCGACTAAATTCATCCTCAATTTCTATCAGAAACAAATGGTTCACATAGAATAAAAATTTTGCTACTGACATCTTGGATTAAATAACATATTATGGAAGCACTGCCACATATACGAGCATCATACCTGTAAGTGTAAGGTACTAATATCAAAACCTCCCAGAGAACGATCAAGTGAAGGTAGATCGCTATTTCTTGTTTCAAACTTCCCATCCTAAAGTAAAGTCATAAAAAATTTTGTCAAAATAAAATCAGATCACACAGATCCCGAAACAAAAGAACCACCACATACCTCATAGTCTGACTCTTGAGCTCTTGAGTTCACTGTAGCATCAAACTGCATACTTTCTGTCTCCTTCACATGGGAATGATCATAATTAGACCGCAGAAAAGTGGGTTCTGTTCCAATCATTCCATGAAAACCCTTTTGACTTTCTCCATCAAAATTGAGATGCAAATCTGCATGGTCTATAGATGCTTCATCAGCTGTTAGAGGTGTGACAAGGTGAGTTTTATCACCACCTACATTTCCAGATTCAGGTGAAAAACCAAGAGGATCCTGGTCAATAAGAGAGCTGTTATCTAGCTCTTGTGCCAACTTCCCAAAATATGACCATGACTTAGGTTCATGGTTTTCCATGTTTATGCTTATACCCACTCCAATACTACTCAGTGGATGTAGACTGGATGGGTCCTCCGCAAGTACTGCTTTAGTATACATATCAGAAAGCAATTCACGAGGAAATCGATCATCAATATCAATAAGAATGTCAGCCTGTGCTTGTTTGGGAAGAGCATTTGATGAAAAACCTTGAGAAATGTCTTCACTCATGTTCCCGGTCAAAGAAACAGGTAGTTCTTGCACCACAGAATCATTATTCAATTCTTTCCCTGAACTATGACCCCAATTAATCCCTGGAAGATGAGATGTTAGTCCATCATTGTTCTTAAAATTGGGAACCTGATCCAAAGCAGGAAAATCTGATTTAGAGTTTTTGTTCTCTTCAACCAGAGGTTTGCTGTGGTTATCTTCAAAGTAACTATCAGTCTCGGACATAATAACCTGATCCTCATTTACCATCACTTTACTTCCTTCATTGTTTGGTAATACCTGCTTCAACTCCACATCCACAAGTTCTGAGAGTTTTGACTTCATATGACTGCTCATCTCAGGCAACAGTTTGTGCATCTGTAGTTCGTTAAGCCCATTAACAATGACATTGCCATCCACATACAAGGGTTTTGGTGTGGCACTTGAATCCTCCGTTAAATTATACTGATTTCCATCAGGCAAGTTGTCACCAGATTCTGTGACTGAATACTGTGAGTTGATGTCAGAAAGTAAAATTGACACAGGAAACTGAGAATCATAAGTGTCATCTGACTTAGCAGATCGATTCAGCAATTCTACTTGCTCCCTGGGAGTTCTTTCAGAATAAGAATAGTAAACTCTTTTAGGCATCGGAGGAGGGTGAAGACAACTTAAATCAATCATCCCATTGGATTGAGAATCAACATTACCAGCACCAAATGCACTGCCAGATGTGGAAGGGGCCTCTTTATGCTCCTGGTGCTGCTCCTTTTTCATTGATAGCAATGTGGGCAGATTCCACTCAGGCATGTTGACTGCAACCGTTGCTTTGTTTACATTGCTTCTCAAGAAATCATCTTTTGGTTGCATGGGAACATGGGATGGTGTTTCCGAGGATAAAACTTTTGCAGAGTTACTTCCTTGTGGAACTGAACTATCACCCAATTTTTTCACCAGCATTGCTGGTATTTCTGAATTCAGTACTTGCAATACGTTAGGAGAAGAACCTTCATTCAAATTCCCTTGTTGATTTATCATCCCATGAGAAAGCATAGCATTGGAAGTCTCTACGAGAGTAAAGTTTTGAGAAGGATTAAGGCCATGGTGAATAGGATATTGACTAAAAGCCTCCCCAAGGTGCATCATCTGGTCTCTGTAGGGAGGATAGGTTTCATGAGCATTTGAGGAAGTTGGGGGTATTGATTCTGAAGGCTGAATAGTTGATGGTGAGTCATAATTCCCAATCAATGGACCGTTGCTGGCACCCATAGATTCTACAGGAACTTTCTTAACTTCCCTCTCAGTATTTTGCCTGACCAGTTCTTGTACATCATTTGCTGAAGAACTCGCACCAAGAAGAATTGAGTTGTTTCTTGAACCAAAGTCCATGCCATTAACAGCAACAACAAACTGGACCTCAGAATCATCACCCACACTACTGAGACCAAATTGTGCATCATCCAAATCATTCATTGAGAATAAAAAAATTCTAAGCTTTTGTGATCCTTCTCTACCTTGTGGATGATTACATTCCTCCATCATATTCTGCAAATCTTCATCAGATGACACAGAGACTAAAGCATCAAGATCTTCTCCAGGAAGCTGATACTTAATTACATGAGTTTGATTATATATTAACAAAGATTTCTGCATAAGCTCCTGCCAAAATATATCCTTTCTTATTCGGATAATGCGTGTTTCACCTCCAACATACCTTAATTTCCCATCACCAGGTCGTGGTAATATTCTACCACCAAAGCTGCAAAGGACTTTCATTGTCATTGATGAGCTATCAGAACTTCCACAAGAGGCATGCCCATGCAAAATTCGACCATTTTCCCGATTACATGAAGCTCTTGGCATTGATTGAATTGACCCATAATTGCATCTGCCTCCATGTAACAATGCATCCTTTCCATCATACCCTTTTGGATCCCTGCCAACCATTTCATGCATAGAAATATCTGATCCACTTTCACATCCTGCGTGACTAATATGACCTGTTGTAGAATTGGGATCACCAACATTGGAAATTACAGGCTTCCTAAAATTCACCCTATCTCGCATAAATTCAAGTGCAAACTCCTCACCAGTCTGTATGGAATAATTAAGTACAGGTTTAACTTCAGATGTATTAGGGGCATATGATCCCCTACTGGTATGCATGCCATCCAGATCGTCCTGCATTACTGACTGAGATGAAGGCTGGATGCCATCATATCTAGGGTCCATCTTATAGCATTTAAGCTCTTTGGAGATGATGGATAATACTTTCAAAGAAGAATTTAAATTTTAATTACAGATAAAATCATAAATAAGATCTATATTTTAGCGACTGATCAGCTTCAGTCACTATACAGAAATGTGAAGAAGCATCTACAATCTTGGAAATTCTCAGGAGTCAGGTCCCACTTTCATCTTTCCAAAAAACAACCTATATGTAGAGCAATTGACCTGTGAACATAATGGAATTAACTTGGAGCATCGATTTCAGATGGAAAAGAAGTCACTGTATGTTGTTTCAACTTTAAATGGCAAGCAAAAAAACAGAACAAAGGCCAATAGACTTATTAGAGAGATATTAAACTGCTAAAAGTGATACCACATATCAGCAGCCTGGACTGTTAGCTAATTACCATTAAAGTTAAACTTTGTTATAAATAATTTATAAATCATAGTAAAGAAAGAAATGTTACTGACTTCAACTGCAAAACTGAATGATAAACATGGGTTGCAGAACGATCAATGATCCACTTGATGGCTAATTTTAGCTTCCTTCCATGGCTAAAAGGAAATCACATCATGGGAGAGTGGACATGAACTGGGTATAACCTCTAGGAACTCTACATAATTAATAAGATGCTCATAAAAAACTGATGAGACTCTAGTTAGCCTATGGATCTGCATCTTCTGGATGAGTATAGGGCATCAATCATAACTTATATTTGTCCGAAAATTACTTCTTTTTTCGGCCAAAGAAGTCAGAGAATTACTTTATGATTGCCTATTTATAAAAACTATTAGTTTTCTTTATTAACTCATTTTCAATATGTTAAAAATAAAACCCAAAGGGAAAAATTTTAATAAACCCTAGAACAAAATTATTTCAAGAAATTGAAAACCAGCGAATTACTTTATTTTGTTAACTTTTCTTTGAGGAAACATTCGAGTAAGTATTTTCTCTTTCCAATTAACAAAACCAGCCTTAGCCATGAAAAAAATTGAAGAAAGGAAAAAAAAATGGATCCCAACGGAATTACTAATGCTGTGCCATACTGCCACATGTCACATACAGCAGAAAGATGCCATATCCTTTGATTCATATGTTCTCAATCTAAGCCTAGATATTAATCTATTCATCTCTCTTTCACCACTTCTATACTTAAAAAACAAAGGTCTATATCCTTGCTTATCTTATTGTATTGATTTATCCATTGTCTTGTCATTTTCAGAGCCTGGAGAATTCTCAAGTTCATTTAGGCAAGGCTACCAATTGAAGCAGCAAAATGCTAGGTTAAATGATAATAGCCGGACAGAACGGGCCTTCTGTAATTGACAGCACCGTATAAGTTCATAGACCAAAGGAAAATATGCACGTACATTAATAAAAATATCCCTGTTTTTAATGCCCAAGTAAGAACCAAGAAGCAAGCTAAAACATAAATTACAGACATCCGGCCATGAAAATATGATCCTGGAAATTTGTAATCTCTGCACGAAATTACAACCCCATGTTCGAATGAACTATTTATAATTACAAGTGCAAATCTGACTGCTACTAGGGATAAACCATTTAGTTAAAGAACAATTGCAGTTAGCAACTAAGTCAAGAATCGAGATCACCACAAACCAAAAAAGTGGACGCGTAACATTCACTATCATCATATAAGAGATATATCATTCACCAGAATTAGCAAACTTGACCATCATCTTGACTCAAGAAATCCAAGAAACACAATCAGCTTCCTTTCAATAAAGCACCAATATTTAATCTGTCGTACACTCCTACCATACACAACGCAACCATTTAAATTATACGTTTAACAATAAATACATTGTCGTGTCATCTACAGTATCAGTGATTACTAGTTAACACAAAGGGAATCGCAATACACCGCAAGACTAGATAGACTACGAAACAGAATCGAAATACCTGATTAAGGAACAATTTTCTCTTCTTCATTGTTCGAGCTCATGGTCATACGTCAAACGCTAAGGTTCAAGGTGTGAGGAAGGAAGAGCAAGTTCCGCATCCGAGACAGAGCGTTTATGCGAAGAGCAAAAGAACCCATCTTTAATCTATATCGCTTTCCCGCATTACGTTTCTTCTAGACTCAATCTACTTCTTCTTCTTGCCCAGAAGAAAAACCGAATCTACTTCTTTATCTGGTTCAATGTCTTCAAAACAGAATGACGGCACTTCCACCCGCTTAGCCTGTGGCACCACCACCCTTCTTTTCGTCTTGCGCTGAAATTATTTATTTCAGCATTTTGTCGAAATGGGAAAGTGCGATCGAATTCCTAAACTACCCCTCCTGACTCATCGTTCTTTTACAAAATGCCACGTAGGAACACCGTGCGGTAGGATTCGTAGGACACCGCACCGCCCTGGGCAATACGCTTTAAAATCAAAATTAATTAAATTAGTGATGTTTGTTTCTTATAAACAAGATGGGGACTCCAAAATTTTCTTATAAAAAAATTAAAGGTACGTTTGAAGGTGTATGATGAAATGAATTCAAAAATGGTCGTTAATAAAATAGAATGACAAGAAATGAAATAGGATAAAACAAAATAAAACATTTCATTATATGAGAGTTTTATCAAAGGAATAAATGATTTTATTTAATCATTACTCCTTTTATACCACAATATAAGTCATTGTTGATTAATTTATGTTTTTAAAAAAAAGTTTGTTGAAATTTTGATTTTATAAGAAATTTCATTTTTTTTAACTATATCGTTGAGAATAATAAAAGGTTGAGGATCAAAAATATCCCTAAAGTGCACATGAAGGATTTTAAATGATCCTAAACTCAATTATGAACCATTTATACCACCTTAATTGCTAAGATTTTTAAAATTTTCACCCTATTGTTTTTACCATCAATTCTTATGTTAGTTAGGCTCACATTAAAATTTTTTAATATTTATTTATTATAAAATATTACATTATGGGGCCTACAATTTTTTTATATTTTTTCAATAATTTAAAAAATTTCTCTCCCCTCCACCTTCTCCCTCCCTCCCATCTCTCCCCTATCCTCTCTCTCTCCCCCTTCCTCCATATAGTCTCTCTCTCCTCTATCTTAGCTACAAGTCTAGCATCACCTCATCTCCCACAACTTGTCACTCACCGACCTCCTCAAATGCGTCTTGAACTAGTGCAACGTCAATGGCCTCGCATACTTCAGTTACAAGGCCATCCTTAACACCTCAGCTAACCACGTCTTGTTTATGGTACGGGACAACAGCTCTCTCCCTTCCTCTTCCTCTTTCTCCTCTCTCTCCTCCATTCAATCTCCCTCTCCACTTGTCTCCTCCACTTTCTCTCTCTCCCCTATTCTCCTCCTCCCCCTCCTCCCTTTGGTCGTCATCCTCACTGACACCATGATAGCTCCAGTGACTACTATGGATGGGTTGGACTTGGACAAGATGCACACACGCTTGCTCGCATTGCCACACTCTTCTCCCCCCTCCTCTCCCTCATGGCCTCATTAACTCCCCCTCTACTCCACCACCTCCCTCCAGAACCAAAACAATGTGTGTGTGTGCATGTGTGTGTTGAGAGAGAAAGAGAGAGCATGCGTGCAAGGCAAATGACTCCTAATAAGAGAGAGAAAGCTTGAGAAAGAGGCCGCTATGGCAGAAATGAAGAAGAGGGTGGGGGAGGAGAGAAGGAGATGAGATAGAATGAAGAGACAGGGGAGAGTGCAGATAGAAAGCATGCTCTATTTTTGCTAAAGATGTGTGCATAAAAGAGAGAGAGAACATGGTGAAGGAGGAGGAAAAAAATATAAAAAAATTATGTGAGACCCACACACAAATATTTTATAATAAAAAATCATATGTGGGATCCACATAATAGATCTATTACATTAGGATAACAAAGCAACGATTTTTTGAAGTTAAGGGATATAAATGACCTATAATTAAGTTTAGGGTCATTTGTGATCCTTGGTGTATACTTCAAGAACATTTTTGACCCTTAATTCAATAATAAATATAGCAATTGACTTATTCAAAACATTTTATTAATTACTCAATAAAGTAAGAGTGTAATTAGAAAAAAATACTAAACACTTACCTAATATTCTATATTTTAGGCTAAGCAAAACTTCTAAAAAATAACTTATAATATGGTGTGGAGAAAGTGTTTAAGAATAATTATACACTTAATATATTTGAATTATATATAATTATGTTTTCCAATTTTAGGATGGGAGGGAGTTGAAGGATGAGAAGGAGTGAGAAGAACATGGATAATTTTGTAATAATATTATTCATATTAGATCAATTCATTCTCGATCTCCCAAATTAAGGGTTAAAAAAATGGATTTAAAATGGGCAAGGAAGGCCACGTCAAGTTATTCTACTTCCATATAAAAAAATTCTCCTAAATCATGGTATCAAACTTACAACCACCTCACTCCATTCCATTTCATCATTAAAAAAAAAAAAACTTGCAAATACTATCAAAAGGAAGCAGCAAGCAAACGTTGTATGACTGATTGTTTTTTTTTTTTTTTATGTTAAAAAAGTGTAGGTTGAGATCCTCTTGGATTGAATCGGAACTTACATTTGCATAATTATGTACATATTACACTAACAAAGTCTTTTATATTGGCATAAAATATGAGTCAAGTTCTTATCAATTATGTTATTCCTTTCAATTTTATTTAAGGAAAATTACTCCCCACTCTTAAGTCCCATGAAAATTCATTGAACATTTTAAAATCTCATGAAATGTGAAAATACTTCTGAAGTACCGAGTCCCAAAATTTAAACATGCAATGACATAAATAACCTACTGAAATGAGATCTCCATCCTCATCTAGTCTCCCCCCATCCTCCTCGGTCATCAGCACGCTCCCTTTGCTTCATCATCCACTGGCCACCTCCTCTCCATTCTCCTCAATCCCCAGCAAGTGTTGTCTCCAACTCCGGCATCACTTCCTTCTCTTCTGACTTCATTCACCCTCCTCATATCCTCTCTGACCTCCGCTCCTCCTCCCTCACCGACGCCAACAAGCCATAATAGACCAGTAATGATAGACACAAGCCATAGGCTAATGAACTCATGCTTGTTAGGCTCGTCCAGAATGTGGTAGGTGAAAGTGAAGATGATGGCAATGCCGACGGATCCAACTGTGACGGAGTACAGTGAGAGATAGTGGGAGATAGCTTAGCGAAAGCGGTACTGAGGTTTGGTAAGGAAGGGACCCTTAAAGGCATTAACCATGAGGCTAATCAACATGATGAATGTGAGAGATACTGGTGACAATGCTGGCGGCAACAATGCTGGGAGGAAGAAGAGAGCTTCGAAGCCGGTGGCCATAGCTGCAATGATGTAATGGAGGTTGCGATCAAGATGATAGGAAATGAAGCTGGGGATCGAAACAGCCATGGCCAGCCTTTGCTTCTCCTTCAATTCACCTTCGAAATTTTCATTCCCTTTCTCAAGTCTCTAATCCCATAATTTTCTCTTCTTGAAAAACTGTGTATCTGAGTCAATGTCATCTAGCTTCTTCTTTCTTAATTCCTTTATCTTCTTGATTACACTCTTCATCTTATGCCCCTGCTACATACTTGTAAGTTGCATGGTCCTTCAAGATAAGAGGAGGGCGGATGAAGATAGAGGGGGTGGAAGCAATGCTGGAGTCGGAGACGACACCTACTAGGGAGTGAGGAGAACGGAGAGGAGGTGGAAGTGGAAGATGGAGCAGAGGGGCATGGTGAGGTCTGAGGAGGAAGAGGGAGAGACCAGGCGAGGATGGAGATCTTATTTCAGTATGGCATTTTGTCATTGTCTAAATTCAGGGACACGGACTTCAGAAATATTTTTACATTTCATTGGAGTTTGAAGTATTTAGTGAATTTTAATTAAATTTAAGAGTAATTTTTTCTTTTATTTATAAATCATTTCTAACTATTTCAATAAAATTATAAAACCAATAAAAAGGTAATTAAATTATTAATGTTGTTTAAAAAAATAAAAAAAATTTCAATTTACTCTTATTAAATTAAATGAATCATCTTTAAAAGCATTTTCTTTATCATGTAATTTTCTCATCAAAATTTGTGCAAGAGTAAAATTGAAAGAAAATAATTAATAATTTACATTTTTATGCAAAATAACTTATAAAAATTTTTGTATGGATCTAGTGCATCACATTAATTAATATTATCCAATAAAATTGTACCATTTTAATTAAATAAAATCTTATGTGTCATTGTTTTTAGTGATTCTACTTTTGATATGTAATATCTATTTAATTTTTTGTTCTCTCTGTTTAATCATCAATGACAAATTAATTTATATTTATATTCATATGATATAACATGTTTTTATTAGATAGTTTATAAATGATGAAGTAGGTCTATACAAGAATTTTCCTGTTTTATATATAGGATGGAAAGAATGTTATAATTAGCATTTATATATCTCTCTGTTTTTTTTTTTGGGCATCTAATATGAGAAATCATTTTCATTAATTAGATTGACAATTGACACCAAAGTAGGGCCAAACCTTTCAACTTTGACCCATTACTGGCGTCTTCAAGACTTGTGCAAGTTTAATTTAATGGCTGATTCCCATTTTGTACGGAGAGTAAGCCGTCTAATAATATATATTAGCTTTATGCTAATGAAATTGTATGAATTTAATTAAAGGTTTTGAATTCAGAATGCAACAATCTTTGCGTCGTTACCAACTTTGTTCATGTCCATGTTATGTTGAAAAAGATTCCATGCCAATTATCAAGGCTGAACACTTTGGTTTGGAAGCGGGCATGCAATTTGGACTTCCCAGTTTTACAAAAATTAAACATTTTGCTCTGATTCTTTGAAAGCTATCCTTGGAATCATGAACATTCATAACAAAAATCATCAAACTTTCAACATGGTGCAAGATCAGAAACCTCTCAATGAAGGATTGGAAGATTTCTTACGAGCCAAACACATTTACAGAGAAGAGAATTCATGCACTGATTACATTGCTAATTTTGCTCCTGCCTCCTGGTAATCGACTCACAGGCTATAATTATGAAAGATGCACCCAAAATTTTGTCTAGACCTTATTAGTCTTTCCAAGGGGTTCTCCCCTCTCCTTGTAAAAAAAAAAAAAAAAGATTCTGTTCTAATTCAATTGGATTAATTTGCGCCCGTTAAGTCTCATCAATGCTTAACACAAGAAATTAATTTATACTCACTTGAAAGAAAACTTTTTGTTGTATTCATATCTGGATAAAAGCAATCCTTCTAGTTTATCTTCTTGAAGTGTTGCTTTATGGAAGAGAGAACCCAATTGTACTTTTCTGTCAACAGAGTAGAAGAGAAAAGAATCTCTCTCAGAGATCAGTGGATATTCTCAAACTCATTTTCATCTTTAGACTTTTTATAGATCTGAGTTTACATGATCAGAATTTAATTTTCATATACATATTTCTAATTGGCTGCACAATCAGCAGGAGCAAAAGAAACCTTCCGTCCAACAAGATCAAACGCCACCTGAAAATTAACCTGCGCAATATTCCCCAGAATCGACATACCATCACTGGGTATCACCATCAAGCAAAGCAAGTCATCCTCGATCGTGAACATGTTTCCACGGTGCAACTTCAGATCACCGTTCGTGAAATGCAACACAAACTCAAGACCTTCTCGTTGCACCATGCCTGCAGACTCGTCATCATACCTGAAGCACAAGTCCAACGGATCAGGTGGGTTCGACACCGGTTCAACCCCAACAGCTTGTCTCACTGCATCCCTGAGCTCACTGTAAAAACCTGATTCCAGTACTGTCAACGTTGTCCCTGAATCAATCACTATGTTGCCTCCAGTTTGACCAGTATGAACAGTATTGTGCCCGACAGTGACAGCTTCGAGGTTGACATAGTAAAAGGTTGTTGGGGTTTTGGTGAACAGAGGAGTGGAGACGATGGCGACAGCCTGATCGCCATGGTTTGATGCGACGACGTCGTTGCCGAACTTGAGTCTGCTGGTGGAGTTGGAAGAGAAAGGGAGGAGGCAGTAGGAGAATGTGTGGCTGATCTGGTCACCAAGTTGTGAGATGAGAGAGAGAGGACCACCACCGAGACCTGCGATTCCTGTGTTGTCTTCGAACTGATTGTCGTGCCCACATCCAATCACAGTTGAAGGAGACGAGAAAGTGTTGCCGAAGTTGATTGTCTCGGTGGCTATGTCTCCCGTTGTGAATGATTGGTCTCCATATCTATAAAAGTACCTGTTGAAAAGTTTTTACTTAACTTTTTATGTGCAGTCCTTCACAAGAGATTATTGATATATATCAGATTTAAATGACTTAGTTATATTGTTAACAGAGCATGTTCTTACACAATTGTGTCAGAAAAATATCCCCGCACGCAATATTATTTATATTAAAAGAATCCGGTAATGAACATTTAAAGTTTACGACTTTTTTTTTTGCTTGAAAAATTTTATAATGTTAATTCGCAAGAATATAATTTTTTTTAATATAAAATAAGAGTATAATATTATTCATAGTTATTAATTAATATAAAATTTTTAGCATGCCATACTATTCTACTACAAAGTTACAATGCCCACTAATCTGTTTTATCTCATGCTGATACATGCATGTTCTAAAATTTTGTAAATTTTTTTCATCTTTTATTTGTTTGTGAATAATATTTTATTATTTGTATTTCATACATCATCTATCTTCAAATGCTAAACAAAATGAAAAGAACAATTTTTCTCGGTGACAATCATTTATTCAATATCAGTATTTTATATATTTTAAAACCATAAAAATAGATCTGTTTAATTTTAATTTTGAATCTATCATTAAAAAATTCAGGGCTTTTTTTTTCCATTGAAAAATTCATCCATTATTGATGTGATGTATAAATACAATTCAAGAGATCATATGTGGTTCACTGATCTATTCTTTCTTTTTTGGTTGCATGATTATGTAAACCTGATATCAAGTACGAATCCAAACACGAGATTTTTAAAGGCATAAATTATGGAGGACAATTTTTTACAAATACAAACTCAAACTTAATTAACACTAAAATTAAGGGCCAATTATAATTGATAAATAATCATTTTACTTTTATTTCACCATGCAAATAAGAATTTTCTTTTTTCAATCTGCTCCAATATCCAATTAGAAATTAGACTTAAGAAGTCTAAACATATATAATGACATGCCACTAAATCTATCCCTTAATGCCATGAAGATTAGAGATAAAGAAATCACAAGTCCCACGTTTCTCACATATAAAGCAACTTATATGTTTGTTGGCTTCTATACATCATCGTCTTCGTAATCTAATTTGGAATTTGAATTCAATGATTATATTTAGTATAAATACTAAATGATTGTAAGATCTAAATCTTTAAAATTTAAATTAATAATTATAAACTTATACTCCACTTAAAATTAATGAATGAATAAATTTATTTAAATTATTAATTTAAATTTGAATAGCTTAAACAATAAGAGCACTCAATGCATGAATTAAGTACAGTCATCATCGAATTGCTTGTACACATTGTTAGTACGTACCTGCACTGATTTGAATTTCCACAGGATTGTCTGGGCAGAGAGCCACATGGTTGCGAGTCACAAGGCAGAACCGTGAAAGTTGAAGACTTTGCAGGATCAAACGCATTCTGGGGATCACAACCACCACAAGGCAAGCACGGTACCCAAACAAGGTCGCTTCCTGTGTCTGCAGCTGCATGAAGCTCCACCAATGGCGTCCCCAAGAAGATCTTCATCAGATAATCTCCTCTGTTCGGACTTAGAACAGCCCCATCACCACCACCCTGAAAGTGTTTGATTCGAGAAATGGATCGCCTCGCTGCTTTCATGATGACCTGTGAATGTGACAGCGAAGAGTTGTAAAATGGCGAGAAAGCTGAGTCTCGATGAATAAGGTCGATGCTGAAGCTGCTGATTAGGGTTTTATGACAGGCTTTGGAAGAAGAAGATAGAGCTGAAAGAGAAAGCAGCAGTGCAAGAAACTGTGCTATAACATTCATGTCTGAAGAGTTATATGAAGAAAGGATTAGAATTCAGATTAGGATTCATGGTGCTTCAATTTATAGAAGATGATTTCCATTGTTTTGAATTAGATGCATGACGCGAAGCATTAAAGGAATATTTCTCAATCTGAATCTTCAAAGTTTCTTGAAACAAAGCGTGTCCTTTCAATGTGCATGAGCTCTTTGATCCAATAAGGTATTGCTTACAATAGTGAAATACCTACAAGGACAAACGAAGCTAAGATTCTATACATTTAGGATTGAATTGAAAACAAAGAGAGAGAGAGAGAGAAGAAAGGAAAAGAAAAGATTCTCTTGTGGAATGCGAATAAGGCAAGAAATGGATAATGAAATAAAATAATTTTGAGTTTGTCAGCTTTGGGTGCAAAGGGGTCACAAATTGGTTTGGTATTTTTTGAAATTGATTAAACTTGACAATTGGCAATATCTTAGAAGAAAACTTAAGAGAACTAAAAAAGGAAAGTTAATGGAGAAAACCCATATTAAAAAAAAAAAAAGGAATGGTGAAATCCAATTGGTATAAATAGCTTAAAACTTCTTAATTTACAAATTCAAGAAGTATCTAAGTTTTGACTTTTTTTTAAAAGCCATAATTTAATTTAAAGTCTTATTTGGTGGGCATATTTCAATAAGATGATTTCTTAATTCTAGAAAACTAGTTGACTAATTATAATCAGATAAAATACTTTACTATTTAGACATGTGAAATAATAATTACTTGGGAAGCATTAGGACAGATTTTTCATTTTTTTAATTCGTGTCAACATAGTATCAGTATGTATGGCCGGGCCGCGCGTTTTATCATGTGTGTCTGTGACTCTGTTATATTATGAGTATGGGATTGGGATTTTCGTCAGTTGAGGAAGGAATTTTAACCCAGTTAACAAGATTTTCAGTTCGGAGTTCGGACAACAGGAGCATTGTAGCGACTTGTTCAATTACAATTTACAATTCATGTCGTTACTACTGAGATTCTGGCCAGGTTCAATTGCAATTCAGAAACCTCAGACAAGATTATCGCCGAGATTCTTCGATCCTTCTCAAAGATACACTCCATGCAAGAGCTCCTGGAATTTCTGTTCTTGCCTGAAGCCGAATCAGCAAAATAGAGCACATTTCAAATCTTCTTCGGTCCCCCGAGATTCCCCCCTTTCTGGTGCACAATATCCTTCAATCTAGCGCATATTAATTTCTCTTATTGAACTGACCTAACTCCTGTTCGTAATTTTCTGCAAATGCCCTTTTTCAGGAATGGAGGATGCTTTGATGGGCTATCTCTTTGGCAAGAAGAGGGCAACGGACGTTGCTCACATGTACGCATTCAGTGGCCTTTTTATTTTCTCCTATTGTTTATCTTGTAAAGTTTTTGTTCAAATTCCTGCCTTTATTGCTTTGAAGTGTAGTTTTAAGTTTGATAGAGAGTCAAACACTTTATGGCTCCATTTTGAAGTATCATCGTTCACTATCTAGCTAGCTAGCTTGCAGTCAGGGGATTAATTATGGGGCTCATCTGAATGGCTGAATGTTTCTTCAGAACAACATCTCCGCCTAAAATGCACTTTTGTTACCGTCCTTGGATAGCGGGTCTGTTTATAGTTAAGAATGATCAATATATCAATGTATGTATATGTGGTTATTTTATCAGAATACTATGCTTTGAAACTGTATTGTGCTTTTGTTTGTTCAAGTGTGAACCACTCAGTATTGGTCACATCCTGCACTTGTGTCATAAAGTCCATGACATAAAGTTCTTGTTTAATTTTCATCTCTTTTGTTGCCTGGTCTTTAAAGTTATGTATGTGTGATTAATCGATCCATCAATATGCCTTGTGATGGAATGGTTTGACCTGATATGAGTGCTGTTGCAACCAGGGTATGGAAGCATGTTGTCCAGAAAGGGGATACAGTTGTTGATGCCACTTGTGGCAATGGTTATGACACCTTGGCAATGCTCAAATTGGTTGCTCATGGTTCAAATAAGGGTTTCGTTTATGCATTGGACATTCAGAAAGATGCTTTGGATATGACTTCATCCTGGCTGGACAAATCCCTTGATCCAACTGAGGTAAGGAGTGAAGTTAAGTATAGAATTTCAACCCTAAATTAGTGTAGATTGACAACTATTATTTATACAACACAGCTGATTGTTTTAATCCTTAAAAACCTGACTTAGTGATTTTTTTTATTTGGCTGTGCATATGCTTTTGGCATGCTATAGGCCTTGAGCATAGCCTTATAAATTTGGCTTTTTTCCCCCCTTCAAAAAATGACTATGGACTTTGGTGTCACCCTTTTCTACTAATAACTGAAGAATATATGCAGAAACAACTTATCAAGCTCTTCAACATCTGCCATAGTAAAATGGAGGAAGTGATTCCAACAAATGCATCTGTTAGGTACCCATGTTTCCTTGAGTTTCTTAATGCCCTTATCCATCAATTGGTATTTGATGTTGACAATTCAGAATAAAACTCTGGACAACCTATATGGTCTCTTGGTAACTCTAATTTTTATTATCTTATTTAAGGTTTAAGCCCTATCTTATATGCTGGGTATTTTAGGCTTGTTGCTTTCAACTTAGGTTATCTTCCTGGTGGTGACAAAGAAATAATAACAAGATCAGAGACAACATTACTAGCACTGGAAGCTGCCAAGAGAATTTTAATGCCAGGAGGGCTTATCAGCATAGTGGTCTATGTGGGGCACCCTGGAGGATGGTGATTTTCCATACTTGCTAGCCTCTATTAATAATACACATTATTTTATTGACTTTGGTTAATAAATAGGCAAACTGAGCCTGAACACATAACTTCCAACACCCATTACCATGGTAACCTTTCTGGTTGATGTTCAAAATGAAATGGAATGAAAAGAAAAATAAAATAGAGAAGGTAATTTTGGGGATAAATGTCTTTTGTGTGCCTAAATAAGAAAATTGATAGAAAAAGAATGTTACTTAAATAACGTAATGATGATGGTGAATTCGAATAAGATTGTGTCTTTGTAGAGCCCCTAAGGGGGAAAAAAGATTGTGTTGAAAGTTTGTGGTGGATGATGACACAAGAGTCAGTTCCGATGCACTCTAGATATTGAGAAATGAACAATCTTTCAAATTCAGGGATCTAAACTCTTGGTTGAATTGATAACAGTCGCATGTTATGAAGTTTACCGTTTTATGTTCTCTACAGGGAAGAATTGAAAAGTATTGAAGCTTTTGCTGCTAGACTGTCTACTGAGGATTGGATCTGCTGTAAGCTCCAGATGCTAAACCGACCATCTGCTCCAATGCCCATTTTCTTATTCAAAAGATAATGCAAAAATGTCTGTTCTGGTATCTTTCTTTCTTTCTTTTTTTTTTTTTTAAATGAAATATTCACCTTCGCTAGCCGTTTAGATGTGTCCTTTTCTGATTTCTTGTTTGAAAGAACATTAATTTTTGTCTGAGCTCCTCTGCCAGGGATTGAATTACATGTGTAATTGGAAATTAATTTAATGAGGCCTTAGCTTAATTGTCTCAGTTCAATGGAAGCCATCCCTTTACTATTATGACCTCAGCATGATTATCGTCTGACCATGAATTCATCCCACTGTATCTATATCTACAGACTAATAGTTAATGGATTTATGTAGGAAGTGGGTCTAATAAAATCTTGTCTATATCAAATTTACGTTGTTACGTTTACAAGCTCTTTCACAGTTTGTAAACATAAGCGCGTTCTTGAACTGGAAGACCTTTGCTTTTCACTTTCTAGTTTCTGAGTGAAAAGGAAAAACGCTGGGGGTATTCTGAAAACACACACATATAGCGATCGCGATGGGACTCGAACCCACAATCTCCCGCTCCGGAGGCGAGCGCCTTATCCATTAGGCCACGCGATCGGATGTCTGTTGGTTGTCTGGTAATGTAATAGAGTAATATACTCTTTCTATGTACGATCCAGCAAAACAAACCCAAAAAATGTTAAATAAATGTGTATAACTTAACGAGGCTTTGGCCTTACTTTTCTCATATAAAAAAGGGGCTAATTTATATTTACACTACATGTTTGTGGTTCCCTTGAAAAAAAAAAACAAAAACAAAAAGTAAAAGTCTGCACGTTTTTTAACCAAATGATAGAACAATGGCGACTATACAAAATTTAAAAGTTGAGGTTATTATTACATTTTAACTTTATTTAAAGGATTAGTGGGTATCATGATAAAGATTTATTCTATCCCTTTATATTAGAAATTTTTTCTATTGGTATCCCTAACTTTAACTCACTATATCTTCATTGTTGATAGGCCTTATATTTCATTTTTAATATTTTTTTATAAAATATTGAGTTAAGAATTATTTTTACCTCTCAACTTCTACTTGAAATATTAGTGAATATCCTAAACTCATATATTTTATAATAAAAACTCTTAAAAAAAAATGATGTAAGGCTTATAAATAGAGAAGAAAGAGTCTTTTAAAAAAATGTAATGAGAAAATGACAGGTGATGAGAAAGAGAATAATTAACATTAAAGGATAAAATTAATTTTTATTTGAGTTCATGGTGCCTATTGACCTTTCAAGTAAAGTTGAGAAAAAAAAATATTTTTAACCTTTACATATTTAAGCTAACAACAACTGAGATAAGTGTTTTAAGTTGAAGAACCACCAATGTTGACTAAAGTCATTAACTTGCATTATAACCAGATTTTTTTTTTGGAACAAAACTAGATTTTTTTATTGAAATATATCTTAGCTATACAAATAAAATTTTAGTATAATTATGTTATTTACAATATATGAGAAAAAATATATTTTCCCCCACAATCATATTAACTTGCATTATATTTTAGCAGGCCATGATCGTAAATTTTGTTGGTTTCTTTTCAAAGTAGTAAGATTTGATCCCAATCATCCCATGCGACCAAAAAAAAAAAAAAATTCTTGCTGATAAACACACACGCAGATAGTTACATGTTATTACTGTTTTACTCCAAAAAGGAAGCAATTTATGAAGTTGAAGAAGCAGTCAACAATTAGATCTTTTTATTTTTCAAAAACTTACATGAGCTGAGAATTCTCTCTTCATATATATTGGATAAATTTTTTTATATTATACATTTAATTCTTTGGTTCATTTGTACGTACTCCTGTCCGGTCAAAGTGTGTGTCCTTGGGTTGAGAATTCTTAGATAGATCTAATACAACATATCATCTATGAATCATCCTATAAAAATATATTATTTAAATAATATTAAATGTGAATTAATTATGACATTAATAATAATATAGATAAAAAACATAAAAAATTAAATAGGAATTCAATTATAAAAATAAAATTACTAAAACAATGACACGTAATATTTTACTTGATTAAATTAGTACAATTTTATTGAATTGATTATGAATAATATAATACACATGATCTATTTAAAAATTTCTGTCTCTCTGGGGTGTGCTGCCAGCAAGTGCAAGCAATTTTTTTTTCTTCCTGTTAATAAATAAACACTTTATTCCCCACGTTTGCCATGAGAACGAGCATATATCTCAATATATTTATCATCAAAATATATAATAAAAATTATATTGTTGTTATTTGTAAGTCATAAATAGCATGCTTACTAGTTGCCACTTTCAAAATTTTTGTATAATAACAGGGAAATAGTTTTGTAATTATATGTATTTTTTTAAAGTTAAAAATAAAACAATCGAAGTATATGATCAAATTAATTAATTAATTGAACAAGAACGTTTTCCACTCTAACATTAGATTCCTTCAATTGATACCATATACTACAATATTACCTTGAAGAATTCTAAGATGTCATTTTTTTAATAAAAAAGAAAGAAAAATTTAAGCCCAGAGAGAGAGAGAGAGAGATTTTACGGTTTTTTTATAAGACGGATTTTTTTTTTTTTTTTACGGTTTTGCTTAGCTTGGTGCGAAAGTTAATGGGATTTAGATCGTCTGTTATCAAAAGATTTGCAGTCATCTTCTTTAATCTGAAATTTTATTCGTTGACTTCATCTAACGGTTGAGGAAAAAACTTGATTCAATGACAAATATATATAATATTTTAGTCGTTGAATTAAGTATTGTGAGTAACACAGTTCAACAAGCCAACGAACCAGATTTGAAGCATGAGACAACAATATAATTTGTAACGAGAGAGGATCTATTTCCCAAGTCTGTGATTCAGTTATAGTTAGAGCACAATTAAAATGAAAAGTAAGCTTATGATTAACCTAAAAATGATTTAAAATATTAAAAAAATATTAATAAAAGCACATATTCCATAACTGCCTCCAACCTCTCCTGAAATATCTGAACCCACAAAGCAGCAACAAGGCAGTGACGATAATGTCATCAGTTTTTCTCGTTTTCTTCCTCTCTTCTTATTTATTTATTGCACTCTCCCCTTCACTCAACTCACTCACTCATACTAACATTCTCAGCTTCTTCTTGCTCTCTCCAAGGTATCTTCTCTCTCTCTCTCTGAGACATGTTCTAACGTACATAGTATATTTACACGTATTCCTGTCACTGCATTTTTGTGTATCTTGTCTTCTATATTTAATGAGCTTTTGCTTCTTCCTTGTTAGTTACTGATCACTTAACAACCACGAGTATCATTAAACAGTGTATGAAGTATCATGTCTGATATCAATGTCTCACTTAAACAGAATTCTAGTCGTCCTAGTATACTGTCGGTTACAAGAGTGTTATCATCGTATATATAAATGTTATCCTCAATTTTCTGCTAAACTTGATAACATATGTTTATCTTTTTTGTTTGTAATTGCACCAGGTTTTTGCTTTGCCTTGCCCATGGCATTGCCCCTGAAACCGTGCTTCAACTGGGAAACCTCTTTGCAAACCATGAACGATCCTGCAGAAATGAGCAGTTACTGTTCCTTCTTCCAAGAAGAAACACCACCACCGTTGCCAGATTTTTCAGATCATGAAAGCTTCTTCTTCCTTAATAATGATAATCAAAACAGTTTATTGTTTGATTATTATTATTCCTTCCCAGAATTGACCTCCCCTCTTGAATATCAGACACCATCATTTCTACAGATATCTGACTATAACATTAACGTCTTCCCAAGTGATGATGATCAGACCTTCCAATATCCCTACCCTAATAATAAACGCCAGAAGTTGTGCTTTGAAGATAACAACTATCATTTACCATATCATTATAATGATATTGATTATTATTTCTATGATGGGTTTGATCAGCAAAGTAGTAATCATTATCCTTACTGTTCTTCCTTAATGCTGGAGCTTAATGATGGAGTTCCACCTCTGCAACTTCCGGCGCCGGCGAGTGATTATGGTGAGAAGATATGGGGCGGCGGGGAGGTGAAGACGGAGAGGAAGGTGTCGGCGCAGAGCATGGCAGCGAGAGAAAGGAGGAAGAAGATAGCAGAGAAGACGCAGGAGCTGGGGAAGATGGTTCCAGGAGGGTGTAAGATGAACACAGCTGAGATGCTTCTTGCAGCTTCCAAGTATGTCAAGTACTTGCAATCTCAAGTTTCCATGCTTCAACTTATGAACACACTCATGGTATGTATCGTATATTAATTTCGTACGACGTTGTTCGTTCAAGATTCTGAATCTTTTAGATTCTTTTTCAAAGTTTAATTTTCATACATAAGAGAAAAAAGAACATATTTTTTTAATGGAGATATTGGTCTCCAGGTTTGTTTTGTTGGAGTAATTTTAATTATCTGTGAAAATTAGTGTAAGGAATGCGTTATCAGTTGAGTTTTTTTCATATGTGATTGTCGTTTTTATGCAGCTTCAAGATAGATATAATTAATTGAAGTACTAACTATTTACTCTAGAATATGATTTGTGGGCTCTTGATCGTTGAAAAACCAACAGGGATATTGGTTGTCTGGTAATTAAGGTTGACAGGGAAACTTGGATTCCAAGCGCGCGCGTGTGAGACTGACGGTTTCACCATTTTTCTGCTTTTCAATCTTTTTTGGTTCACATTTTTGTGGGAGTTTTGCCTATTTTCTTTCTTTCTTTATGCGTTCTAGGAAATAAATAGAAAGAGTGTATATAATAATAATAATAATAATGATAATATAATATAATATAATATACATTTATTCCTATTCTTATTCTTATTGTGCGCACGCGCGCATGTAAATAAATATATAAGAGGTTAGAGGTGAGGGGAGAGAAATCTACGGAGGCAGTTAAGCGGATGTGAAGACATGGTCAGCATAAACGAGTCTTCAGGAGCAAGCATTCTTTTTTATTTATTTATTGATTTATTTGGAAACAAAATGTTTGTTAAGCAAATATTTTAACGACAAAGAAATAACTAAATATGTAATATGACCAAATGAATTGTTTTTACCACTTAATTAATGCGATTATTTGGAAAACTGTGCATAATAAGTTTTTTATGTTTTAGAAAAATGTTTTACAAATCTATTTCCGAGTTGATATCCAGATAGCGGATTATTTCAATGTTTCCTCCACTTTTGCCGCCCTTTTACTCACTTTAATTAGTTAGTTTAATTATTTTTTTTATCTTAATTATGCCAAGAATTTCGATCATATATATGTTTGGTATAATATTTTCCACAGGCAGAATAATTTTACTGACAATTATTAGAATCACAAACGAGCTCATCCCATGCTATAAAAACGTTCATTGAAAACAAAAAATTTGTAACTTGAATCCACCAATGATTAATAACCAACACTTTGAATTGAATTCTCTCAGTTAATTTGTTTCATCATATTCTTGACTATTTTGCAGGAAGATAAGCCATCAACTTTGAGTGATAATCTATATCAGCAATTGCAAGCAATACTTGGCAGTCCCGGTGTAGAAGAGAAGCTCTACTTGCAAGAAAAATGTTTGGTTCCACAACACTTGGTCACCACCTTGACAAATCATACTGATATCCAGGCAAGACCTTCCATTCTCAAAGATCTTAATCAGCTTATCAATGTCACAGACATTCAGAAGAAACAGCTCCAATAATCAATCATGTTTTGTTATCCTTCACTGTAATTAACGTTCTTTCCTCAGTCGTCGTTGTTGTTGTGGCCATCACCATTTTGTTCTTTCTTGTTCAATGTAATCTGAGAATATTTGGCTTCTCTTTGGCCTTGAATTGGATTTGCATTAAAAAAAAAATAGAAAAAAGAAACTACAATTTTTTTCCCCAGTTGGTGTCTTATGCAAGTCATTTTCTGTCTCATTGACAATATTCAACTTCTCAGTGAATCCGAAACAAGCTAATACCTTACGTTTAACAATTTCTATCAGGTTCTCATGAACAATCCATTTACATTATTTTTATGAACCACATAACAAGCTTCAGTAACAACTTTTATCAAGGTTCAATGACATTAGTTACTTAATCATTGAGAAAAGAAGGGAAGAAGCAGAGAAACAAAAAATGTCGGACTCGCTAGGTTGACTATGGTGGATGTGGCCCCTTCGCCAACAGATACATTCAACATGCTGGTCATGAGAATGCGGCTAAATTGCATTTAAGAAGTTTCAACTGGTGTATCAGAATGTGCTCCCCATTCAGTCCAAGATCCATCATAGACCGGTACATCATACTTTCCAAGACGATGCAGACCCTGAAAAAGTGGGAATAACCAAAACAAGGCATGAGAGGTTTCACCTTTACCATGTTCTTTCTACAGACCCGAAAGATTTATATATCTAATACACTTGTATATCATCTATGTTCTCACAGGTGTTCTGGAATCCAGGTCTACCTAAAAATCTTTCTTCTAAATGAGCACAGTCCTACTCAGCTGAATACTGGAATCCCGCCCATTTTTAACTAGAATAATGACATGCACCTATGTGCTCAACCTCAAGAGCTATAGGTAAAGGCTCTAGGGTTTGTTTGAGGTAGCGTTTAACAGAAGTGACAAGCTTGTCGTTTACCGCAAACCACACAAATAGTAGTTGACACTCTAAATTTATCAATCTGTCCTTTGACTTCCAATTTAAGATTTTCAGGTGTTACTGTTGATAGATGGGTGGGGCCTGCATGTGTGCTGAATGCAATAGTGGGTCTACACAACTGACCAGGATTTGCCAAACCTAGACCCAGCCTGGTTAAAAGCCAGGTCAGAAAATAGAGGCCCAACCTGCCTGGCCGATAGGCCTGTTCAACATCAAAGGGTTAGCCAGGTTGTCAGATGGGTCTGAGAGCGATGCCAAATTTTTTTCAGGGGTGTGCTCGTTGACCAAACCATGGGAGGCAGAATCAAATATGGTAACACAAGTATCATAGCGAAATATGGTAACCAACCTTTTTAGCAGACGGAGAGGAGAGGAAGCAAGGATAATAGCAACCATACCTTTTAAAGGCAACCATCTCAAAATAATTTTTCCCCTTCTACCCCATTGGGAAGGGAAGATAGGCATTAATTAATTGACCCATTAAGAAGTAGCTTCAGACAATTTGCTTTACCCTTCATTTCCAAGAGCAAAATATACCATTTGGTTCATCCAATTTTGTGTGTGCGTGTTTGAGAGAGAGGGGAGAGAGAGAGAGGTACCAATGCAAGAATGCAAGCAGTCACACCAGTGCCACAAGAAGCCATTATTGGGCTTTCCAAAGAGATTCCTGCATATGAACAAGGATGTCAGGTAACTGAAGAACTATATCAAACATGTCATCCGCAGGTATCAGAAGTTTCGAGCACTAAACAGTTAATTTCAGCATAGGGACATCTGTCACAATATAGGCTTCACACCTTCTTCCTCAAATCGCTTCTTAAGCTGATCTGGCGGTAACAATGTTTGTGAAGCATCCAACACCTGCAGATGAAGACGAACATAACTGATAAAATAGTCTCGCAAATATTTTCTTTATATTGTGTTTGTGTTTGAGTCTACGTTAATAACTTCAACAAAATTTATCATGTCCAGCTCTGATGGTATCAGTCTATCCTGGAGGATATGGAATGAAACCACTGCTATTCTATAGCGCGCTCAAAATCAGAGCTACTATGATTTATGATTTGCCATCTCATTATTGACTGACATAAACTGAAGTTTGATTCCACTTTCAAGAAAAATTTCCATCTTTTCCAGGTTTGTTGTCCTGCCCATTTTGTCACAGAGCGCTTCTTATCCTCTTTGACCATTTAGAGAATTTCCTCCAATTCGTGGCCCTCAAAAGTATGAGTGCGTTAGGCTTCTTCGGAAAAAGAAAAAAAAAAAAAAAGAAACTCAGTTTTTCAATGCAAATATATATATATTTTTTCTTTGTCAAACTTATCTTTCATGATCATACAGCTAGGATCAAACACAACCTCATTCTTTAAAAAAAAAAAAAAAATTAATCTATAGTACACGGGAAAGTTGGTTATTTGTAAACAGAGAAAATTCAGCAGACTGAATTTAAGAAGCCAAAACCACAAAACAACATTTGGAGGCATAACTTGGGAGAAGCTATCCAAGACAATGCTATGACTAGAAAGGTTGGCGCTTTTCTGGGTTATAATGATAGTAATGACATGACCATATGCTGTACCTGGACAAAAGGAAGGCACTTGCTGCCAGGTACATGACCACCTCTGATTCCCTTGCGGGGTTCTGGCACAGCTCCATCAAACCTGCCAGAGGATAAAATCTCTATAAAGTCCTACAGAGGCACACCAGAAATTGAAATCCCAAACTAGTGAACTCCTAAAGAGAAAATAAGAAATTGTTCTAAATGGCGGAAAAAATGGAAATAAAGACTAGTACCAAAAAAAGATTGAAATTTATGAAAAATACAGCCCATACAGTATTCCAAAAAAAAAACACTGCCTCGAGACTTTAAACAAACTCCATCCATAATTGTGAGCATTTGATATTGCTTAAGCTATTAATAAAATACCAACAATAGTAAGATGAAATTACATGTTTGAAGCCAACTGCTCACATGCTAAACCTCAATATACACAAATCAGGAAGGTAAATGCTCACAACAGTGAAGAGAACCATGTGAAAGTATATGAGCAGTCAAAAGGAATGTAATATACCTGGGCTTTGATCGAGCATCTATATGTTGGTGACTTTTTTCCTCAACATTTTTCTTGACCTAAAACGAGAAGATATAAAATAACTAAGAATGCATTTATTAATAGGAAATCCTATCAAATTCAAGACCAAACATTTCAAGAGACTGCTTACTAGTAGATTCAGCATCGCATATATTAACATTAGCTAGATTCAACATCTGACTTTAATCATTACTGGTCCTGACTACTTACTACTTGTATGCTTTTATTATCATCATCATCATCACAGCACATATAAACTATCCTCTGTGGCCGTGCCATATATACTTGCACTTGCAATTTCTAGTTATGATTAACCTATTACTTTGAGAAATCAAGACAAGCATTCAGAGAATTCATATTTGAAGTGCTAATCATAAATGCAACCCACCTGCTCGATGGTCCAAACAAGATGTGGCTGAAATTTAGTCTTAAATGTGATTGGTCCAACCTGATAGGAGAAATGCATGAGTGGATGATGCATTAAAAGATTGTATATATTTAAATCCAACACACAACCTATAGGAATCTATGATGGAGCCACAGACGAATATATATTTTTACACTAGAAAAGAAAATTATTTTTTCTAAGCAAAGCAGAAGCATAAGCTTACAAATTGTATCAAAAGGTGAGGACATGAATCATTAAAAATTCTTTCAAAAGTATGCATTCCATACTATCTTCTAATTAGTAGCAACTGATAAAAAGAACCCATCATGTAAAATTGAGACAACGTTTAAATTCTTGCAATGCCATATCATTGATTCAACATTTGTTGTGGTATACTTGGGTTTTCCACAATAATGTTGACATAATCTACGCCATCCACCGCCAAAGCTTCTATCAACTAAAATGCGTTAAAAGAAAGAAGGATAATCTTTATTTATATACACATATATCTGTCACAATCCCATGTTAGTCTACAGGAAGAGTGCAACTACAGCAATTAGTGGTCTCAACATAACTACAGGAAAATCCAACATATATGATATATCACCGACATATATTCCTCTGATTATTAAATCTTCCATGAATAAGCTTAATAACCATAGTACAACTCAATTTTAACAAACCTATTCCTCGAGTTGTTTTAAGGAAAATTTAACATTAACAATTAACACCAACACTTTTCCTTTTTCTTTTAGCCATATAATTGCTGTGTCACTATGTGACTTAAAATTCTTGCTAGATGACAGGAGGAGGAGTGGAAGCCATGAATCACTTCTATAAAGCCAGAAGAGGTCCTTACATCTCTCCCCTTTATGGAGGAGTGCGGAGGCATGCAGAGAGAGGTATGATAAAAGAATAACGATGAAAGTAGCTCAAATCAATTCCATTATCTGTTAGACCACTCAGGAAAGAGTAAAAGAGAGCCCTAACTGAATTCACATGGCAATTTAGTATTATTAAGATATGCTTTTAATAATTTCTATCTCATTCAAAAAACAAAGTTTAAAAGTTTGAGGCCTGCCACTTGTTACATTTGTATCCATGATCATCATTCTAATCATTACCAAGCATTTCTTAACAATTTACAGGTTAATAGAATAATCTCCTTCATAATGAATGTCCATAAGCAGGTGTTCTGCACTTCAGATATTTGGACAGATTGCACACTTACTGCTTGTCCCTTATATACTTTCTCAATGGCCTCACTTGCAGCACTAGCCTTCAATATAGCATCACCAGAAGCACTTGATTCAACATCGTATCCTGATGCACGCCATCTTGGCAGGCCACCATCTAATACCCAAACTCTGTCATGCCCAAAAACTCGGAACATCCTTTTAACCAGTGAACCAAGACGAAGGTATTAGTTAGAGATGAATAGCAGAAATCCTAGATTCCACATTCCAATGAGAGATTAATATGCTTTTTCAAGATATCATGGCTTACCACCATACACGAGCTGCACTAAATATTCCCTTTCCATCATAAACAACCAATCCATCTTTATTTTCTATGCCAAGAGCAGAGACAGCAGCAGCAAAAGCATCTTCTGATGGCAACATGTGTGGCAGCTGGAACAAGTCATATTTATATATCAGATATACCAGGGATACAAATTGCATTAAAATACAGTGGAATTCAAAACATTCTCATTAAATGAAAAGCCACGACATCATTCACTAAGAAGAAAATAATCACATTTATAGAGAATAAAAAATAATTAAGAATGCATAATATGAGCAGAGGTAAATAAAAAAAATGAATATCAACCTATATAATTAACATTAATGTATAACATAAACCATGTATAATTGCAGAAAGTTTTCATTTATTACCGCTTGACATTAAAAATGCATTGAGAAAATATAAGATAGCAATATTTTCACGTGAGGAAAAACTTTATAAGACCCACAATTAATGATAAAACAAATGTCGTGACTGCTGCATCTAAGGAATCCACTATGCTGAAAATCATGTGATTATTAGCATTTATGGCTAATTGATCGCATGACTGTTAGCTGGCTTTTGTCATGTTTCCAGGTCGACCTTCTTATCCTTCTTATTTTCAATTTACTCTAGTAATTTATTTTAGATATCTATTGCCAGTTAATATCTCATGAGGCTTAATTTCTTAGGCATTTACCTGAAAAATTCTTCGTAAGAATCACATGGGATTATAGGTGTTAATGGGCAGGAGTCAACTGATTTTATTTCCTTATTTTAATTGTTTTCAGTGTTATGAGTCTTTATTTTGCTTTCATGTTCCTATCTTTTCCTTTTCTCGGAGATGTTGGTTGGATGCTTCTCTTGAGGCCTACCTCCTCCTGTATGTAGCAACAATTGGTTTGAATCAAATAAGAATTTTTCAGAGACATTATTTACTGAAAAGTTTCACACTAAAATTGCAAAGACATTGCTTTGCACAGTATGATCCATAAGGATCTCATTTTTATAAGCTAAGAACAATTAATAAAAACTTTAACATAAAAGTGTATACAACTTCTAAATTGTTTTTAAACAAAGACTTAATAAATAACATGAAGAGAGACCACTCACACTTGAAGTTTGATCTGATATTCCATCTACATCAAAGAAAAGGGCCCCAGGAATGTGAGCAACCTGTTGCAATGGTGTTAAACAAAATACATGTATAACCAGATGATAAACAGAAGTGAACTGCAAGACAATAAATAAACACAAGCAGAAGCATATCCTTTCCATACCACGTTTCATAATTTGCTTAGAATTTTTAACAAGAAAGAATGGGATTGATAAGAAAATCATGTTCAGACCTGATATTCTTGAATTGGGTTCCTCTGCTCATCTGGCATGTACCAGGAGGCATCCAGCACCTGAATAGACTAGACAAGCTTAGGCATTTGCATGGATGATGTAAAGTAATGTAAAATGTTCAGAAAGTACAAAGATGGAAAATTCAGGCCATGCATGTACCTCTAGTAGAATTAAAGAATTTAGAAACAAAGCATATTAAATTTATGATACCTATTACAGATTGGTCATATGGCCAAGAAGGATTTAAAAATGCCAAAAATAGAAAAGTCTTTAAAAATAAAACAACAACAACAACAACAACAACAAGCCTTTATCCCACTAGGTGAGGTCGGCTACATGGATTGCAAGACGCCATTGTGCTCTATCATTTATCAAGCTTTTAGAAATATTATTAATTAAGAGATCACGTTCAACAACTTCCAAGAGTGTTCTCTTAGGCCTTCCTCTACCTCTCTTAATCGGACTCAAAGTTATATGTTCCACTCTTCTCACTGGTGCCTCCCTTGGTCTTCTTTGTACATGCCCAAACCATCTCAACCGATTTTCTACCATTTTTTCCTCAATAGGTGCCACCCTCACTTTTTCACGTATGTGCTCATTTCGAATTTTATCTTTACGTGTATGTCCGCACATCCATCGTAACATTCTCATCTCTGCTACTCCAACTTTATGCTCTTGCTGTCCCGTTAGAGCCCAGCATTCACTACTATATAACATTGCTGGTCTGATAGCAGTACGATAAAACTTTCCTTTAAGTTTATTAGGCACCTTACGGTCGCAAATAACTCCTTTAGCTTTTCTCCAATTAAACCACCCAGCTTGAATTCTATGTGAAATATCTCCACTGATTTCGCCATCATTTTGAATAATGGCTCCCAAATATCTAAACTTTTCCACTTGAGGTATAATTTGATCTCCCAATTTCACTTCCAAATTATTTTCGAATAGTCCTTTACCAAATTTACAATATAAATATTCCGTCTTACTTCTACTCAGACGAAAACCTTTCGACTCCAATGTCCTCCTCCATAACTCAAGTTTGCAATTAACCTCTTCTCTTGTCTCTGCTATAAGAACTATATCATCCGCGAAGAGCATACATTTCGGGATTTCCTCTTGAATATGTTCCGTCAAAACATTTAAAATCAAGTTGAACAAATAAGGACTCAGAGATGATCCCTGATGTAGTCCAATCTTTATAGGAAAATCCTTTGTTTGACCACTAGGCGTTCTTATACTAGTTTTTACCCCCTCATACATATCTTGTATGGCTTTAATATAAGCAATCCGTACTCCCTTTTTTTCCAACGCTTTCCAAAGCACTTCTCTTGGTATACGGTCATAAGCTTTTTCCAAATCAATAAAAACCATGTGTAGATCTTTATCTTTACAACGATACTTTTCCATTAATCCCCTTAGTAGATAAATGCCTCTGTAGTTGATCTACCTGGCATAAAACCAAATTGATTCTCAGAAATACTTGTCTCCAATCTCAACCTGTGCTCAATTACTTTCTCCCACAATTTCATTGTGTGGCTCATGAGTTTAATCCCTCTATAGTTAGTACAATTCTGAATATCTCCTTTATTTTTATAAATAGGAATTAATGTACTTCTCCTCCACTCATCAGGCATTTTCTTGGACCGTAAAATCACATTAAATAACTTAGTTAACCATCTCACCCCTTCTTCACCTAAACATTTCCACGCTTCGATAGATATACAATCAGGTCCGTTAGCTCTACCATTTGCCATTTTCTTAAGAGCTTCCTTTACCTCCTTATCACGTATTTTTCGATAGAATGACAAATTTTGTTCTCCTTCACCAGTTACTAAATCCTCCAAGTTACTAGATGAATCCTCTCCATCATTGAAAAGTTTACAAAAATAAGTCTCCCATCTATTTTTAATTTCATCATCTGTAACTAAAATTCTTCCCTCTTCATCCTTAATACACCTTACCTGTTCTAGATCTCTTGATTTTCTTTCCCTACTCTTAGCAATCTTATAAATATTTTGCTCTCCTTCCTTCGTCTCAAGGTTCTTATAAAATTCTTCAAAAGCTTTGGAACGAGCTTCACCCACAGCTCTCTTAGTTTCCTTCTTAGCCATACGGTACCTCTCCCAATTTTTCTCATTGTTACACAAATGTATGGCTTTAAAACAGTTCTTCTTATACTTGATTTTGTCCTGTACACTATTATTCCACCACCAAGACTCCTTATCTCTCGGACCAGAACCTTTCGATTCTCCCAAAACTACTTTTGCAACCTCCCGTATTTTTTTAGCCATATCCTCCCATATGATGTTAGCACTTCCCTGAGAATCCCAAATTCCTTTATCCAAAAGATTTCGCCTTGAAAATATCTTGCTTCTCACCTTTTAATTGCCACCACCTAATCTTTGGTGTTACTACTTGTCGACGTTTTTGGATTTTACTCATAATACACACATCAAGGACTAGGACCCTATGTTGTGTCGTTACAGCATCTCCAGGGATCACCTTACAATTTTTACAAAGTTTTCTATCTGTGTTCCTAACCAAAAGAAAATCAATCTGCGACCTTGAGGCTCCACTTTTGTAAGTGATGAGATGCTCATCTCTCTTCTTGAAACAAGTGTTGGCAATCTTAAAATCATACGCCAATGAGAAATCAAGAAGAGTTTGCCCTTCATTGTTTGCTCTCCAAAACCAAAACCACCATGCACCCTCGCATACTGACCAGCTTCCCTCCCGACATGCCCATTAAAGTCTCCTCCAATAAAAATCTTTTCACTCTGTGGTATGTGTCGAATCAACCCCTCCAGATCCTCCCAAAATAATTCCTTAAGACTGGCTTCTGTCCCGACTTGCGGCGCATAAGCGCTAACAATATTAACAGTCTCACGTCCAATTATCATTTTTAAAGAAATAATTCTGTCTCCAATTCTGCTAACTTCTACAACGTTCTTCTTCCACTCATTATCTGTAATGATGCCTACTCCATTGCGTGCACTTACTTTTCCTGTATACCAAAGTTTGAAACCTTGAATATCCTTAGCTCCTTCTCCACGCCATTTTGTTTCTTGCAAGCAAAGGATATTGATTTTCCTTTGAATCATAACCCCTACAACCTCTACAGATTTACAATTTAATGTCCCAACATTCCAAGTACCAAATCTAATTTTGCTCTTATGGACTAACTTCTTTAGCCGCGTGCGTCCAGAATGACGCGGTAGCCCTTGCTCATTTAACACTACATCCGGGCGCCGATGCAGCGGCTCTAACTCACTTATCACTGTACTCGAGCCATGCAGCGCGTTACTTACGGGCAACGACCTAGCATTAACATTATAACGTCTATTGTCCATGTTCATGATAGATTCAACAAATTTTTACATTGGCTGTTGATGGCCTAACACAACCCTCCTCCTTTACCCGGGCTTGGGACCGGCTATAAACATAGGCGGAGTTCTCTTTAAAAATAAAAGATCATGGAAAATAGAAAACTCTTTGAAATAAATAATTGTATAATATTGGAAGTTAAGCCACTCATTTGGACCCAAAGTTGGGTTTTTTCTTGTGTTTCTGATGTTAACTCAATCCATAGACATGTCTGCTACACATCTTGCATCAACTTTTTGTCAAAAAGTTCTAATAGATATCATTCACCTACTTGTAGTCATCTATATGAGATTCTCAAACTTGTTTGGTGAATGAGAATTTTGGTTAGCGAAAAGCAACGTTAGAAGGCATCTCAAGATTATGAGATCTTTAATTCTTAAACTTGTTTTAGGAAGGTAAAATTCATGATCAAGACAGTAGTGTTTTGGTTAAATCATAATAAGAGATGACATATAAAAGAGCCACCAAATAGTTGATAAGATCCAGATAAAATTTTGTTTCCCTCATATGAGATAGTTTGTTTTAGCTTTTAGGATATTTGCCTAGCTCTGGACTTCTGGACTAAAGGAAACTGCAATTAGCCTTAAATAAATTATTTCTGATGACTGTTGTATATGCAGCACACACAAGGGCAATCCAAATTAGCAGTTAATGCAAGAACCTTCATATCAGGCTTCTTCAGATTAGCATAGAGCCAATCCACGGAAACAACAGGATCATCTGTAGATACAGACACTGTTGAACAATAAGCTTGTGTCACAATAGAGGAAGAAGCCATGACAAATCGAGCCCAACTAGTTGTCCTTGTTTTTTGAGCAGTATAGGCTGGGACAGTTTGTGGAGGAAATGAACTCTTCTGCAGGTAGAAGACATTAACTATACAAAATGAACTACCAAGATCAAAGAACAGCTACAACAAATAAGACAATGCAGAAAGAAATAAATGTGTTTTGATCACCAAGATAACTTGTCAGAAAAATGGGCTAACAAAGTGAAAAGTTAATCTTGCCAAAAGGTAGAGCTTTTAAATGGTTGATCGCATAAAATGCTACTCTTTAGTGGTGTCAATTAAAATTTTGTTAATCAAAATACCAAAATGTATGTTTTCATCTTAGAGCCTAACAACAATTCATACCAACAATTCACACATATATAGAGCACTTATTGCCAACGTATATTTAATTACTTACTCACGTGAGAACCAGCAAAAGAAAACATTTTGCATGCTAATCACCATCCATGACAAATTAAAACCAGCGATTAACCCCCCAAAAAAAAAAGGAAGAAGAAGTCAAATTTACACAACCGGATGTTGTTTGGCTTCACCAGGTTGTATTAACAATATATTCGTACAGGGAGGGGCAAGCAAAGCGATCATAACCAGCAGTTATAAACTTGCTAATTGCCGTTCGGTTCACACTCAATCACACTTCGAGACAGTAAAGAAAGAAAGCAGGCCACGCAGCTCAACAGACCAAGAACACCTAAACCAACAAAAAACTACAGAACACCAATATACAGGATTAAACGGCAGAGGATAAATGAGCACAAGAACAAAGTTCCCTATTCACAAACACAGAATTGAGTCTAATAATGGAGACAATTTTACATAATCCATACAGAAATTGGAGAATACAAGGAAACCCATATGGGATTTCAAGAAACAGACGGGACTTACATTGAAGAAAGAAGTGAGTATTTGGGGCCTCGAAGAATGAATGAGGCGAGGACCCAATAACATCCTTGTGAGAAGAGAAGATGCCATATCCGTCAGCGATCATATAAGAAGTGTGTGTCCTGAGATAGCTGGAAGAGTGAGGTGCCAACGAATGAAAGCAGCCAAAAGCAGAGACTGAGCGTGACGGAGATGCTTCTGAGTGGGGTATCGTTTTCTGAAGCCGAAGAGGCAGAAATTGACGAAGAACGAAACAATAGAATTGTGGAGTAGGAGTTTACGAAAATTTAAAAACATTAATATGTGCAAGACTAATTAATCTCTATATTTATGTATATATAACATTAAACATATCTAAATTGCACCAATCTGTGTTTTTAATTTTGTTCATTGTAAATTGTAAATTTAATTTTATAGATATAATTACTTGTATAAGATCATCATTCATTGTTTTTCTTTTGGGTATAATCATTCATGTTTATTTTAATAAAAAGAATGAAAAGATAACTAATTCTAATTAATTCTATACATAGCATATAAATTTAAAATGTCAAAAGATCGGCTATGTAATGAAAATTAACTTTGTATCTAAGCTGATAAATATGCAAGTGTCTAACGACTTGTTAAACTTTTTGTATTGTATATTATGAAAATAAAAACTAGATTCTAATTAATAAAAAAAAGTTTGTTATGGATATGGAATTTGGCTTGTTTGAATTTCTTTTTTATTAAGTTTTTATTTTGGCTCTCCTTCCTAAATCCAGGGATGATCTTATTTGAAAGAATACTTTTGTCTTTGATCAAAGAAAGAATACTTTTGTCATTTCAAAATGAAAACTTTTACATTTAAAATTTTAATATGTAACTTTTTAAATTACAGATAAACATGTTTTAAAAAGGATAGTGTAAAAAGCATTTTAATATGAGCAAATGTGATTTTTTTTTTTCCTGAGTAGCAAATGTATTGAGTTACAAGAGCAAATTTGGGGAAGTCTTGGTTCTCTACTTATTAACTCAGCATTTCAAATTTTTCACAAACAATTTCTTCGTTTCAACATAAAAAAGTTAAAAAAGAAGATAGTTGAGGAATTAGCAGAACCAGCTGTAGTTTCTTTTCAAAAAACCCAGTTACAAATCTTTGAATGCCAGCAGCATCTGTGACTGTTTTATAATTAATTTTTTCTTTTATTATTTTTCAAGTAAAAATTTAAAAGAGCTTCTCCATTTATCTGCCATGACTAATTAGTTAAAAAACAAGTGATGGATGATAGATTGTTGCATTTTATTTGTTTGTCAAAAGTTTATGTAAATTGAGTTTTAAGGACTCATTAAAACTAAAGTATGCCTTTAAATTTAAAGTGTTTGTAGAAATATTTATAGATTATCCACTGATAAAATCTTTATATCAATAGTAGTAAATAAACATACATCCTTATAAATTATAAATGAAATCCTTACATCTAAATTAACTTTCACTGTGGCTTGTTGCATTTTACCCCACACATGACACTCAGCTTTATCATCGCATCAGTTTAACAATTTATACAACATCATCATCATACAGTCCAACAGATATGAGAAAATCAGATGAAGATACAACAATAAATGGTTGATTGCAGCAATTGAAGTTGGCTAGAATTGGAGATGGATGATCTCCATTAATAATGTATTCACAAAAAATGGCCCATAAATCTAACTATATATCACATAACAGAAGCAAAGGTACATCACAAAACACAAAGCAAAACGATGAAGTTAACGATAGGGAAGAACGAACAGGTGTAATGGAAGAAAACTTGATTGGTTCCTTTTTTTTTTTTTTTTGCGTAATTAAATGTGATTGGTTCTAATCATATTAAAATCGTGCTTGTGCACAAATAATATCAAATTATCAATTCACTGATTAAAATATTACAGAAGGCTGAACATGGAATCATTGGCAATAATACTACTCCATTCATTAGAGTGAGATATTAAAAAATATAAAATATTTTTAGTCTTTTGAAATATAATCATTATCTTTTTTTTCTCTAAAAGTGCCCATATTGATAAATGACTTTATATTTATTATATGATATTTAATAGGGATAAATATGAGAAGATAGAGTTAGTTTGAAAGTAAATAATTACTTTATTAAAAGTAAAATTTTATTAAAAAATTTTTATATTTTTAAATGAAAGGAGCACGTCGCTCCCATATAATAAAGAGGAAATATCCTGAGGATGATAATATTAACTCATATTTCTATAGACATACCAAATGTGTGAAATTTTGATGTGATTGTGAGATATAGTTAGATCTATAAGAGAAGATTAAGGGTGTAGATAAGTGTAAAAAAGAAATATCTAGCAGGTTAGAATTAATATCCTAGTGGTCCAAAAAAGAAGGATTATATCAAGATATTTTGGTAGGATAGTTTAAATTTAATTTCGATACTAGAGTCACTTTTTGCTTGCTTTGTTTTGTTGTACTATTTTGGTTAGCACTTAAGAATATTTTTGTGAGTTAAACAAAAATAAGGAGAGTGTTGGTCTTTCAAACACTAATGAGAGATCTTATTTTATTGTTGTATTATTTCCTTGTGGTTGTAATTTTTATTCATACGGAATAGAATTTTAGTCCGGATTATTATGAACTTCTCTTTTATAACACTGATTCGATTCTTATGACTTATCATAAAAAACCTCATAATTTTCTTCATTCATGTCTTCTTGCATTTAAGGTTCTGTTGATGGCACTGAATTTAGAGCAGGGCTCTATCAGATTCTCTGTCTGCTATGATGTAAAGCTACTATTTTTGGCTTGCTGTGATATTTGTTCATACTATTAAATGCTAGAAATATTCTAAAATATCTAGGAAAGTAAGAGGGGAAACTATATCAGACACAACATGTCAATGGCTTCTCTTACTTGTCATAGAGATGCTTCACTTTCTATCAACAATGCTAAGCGAGCGAGAATCGAGGGCCTCGAACTGCCACAAATACACCCTGCCATCTTTATTTTCCTCTCATGCAATGTTTGATAGATAAAAAAGTATTTTCTGAAAAGGGTGGTAAGTGCATCTATCCCATTTCCTTTGTAGAAAACGCTTTTCCGGATAGAAAACATGCACTTAATGTTTTTGCTTGTTCTGAGATCAAGTATATACAAAAGGTAACATTTAATATAACATTTCAATTTAAATTTTTTATAGTTAATTTTTGGTAAATAAAAATTTAAAAAAAATATTTAGAGGTAAGCAAATTAGTAGAAGATGATTATTAAATCTAACTTAGGATATAATTCTAAATTAAAATTAAAAAATAAAATTAATTAAAAAAAATAATAAAAAAATATTATTAAATTATTATTATAATAAAAAAAAGAAGGGTATTTAAAATAAAAGAAAGGAAGAAGAAGAAGGAAGAGTTTTGCTTTCGGCGTTTACGCGTTACATCATTACATATAATAATAATAATAAAAAAAGAAAGAAAGAAAGAAGAGAGAGAAAAGAAAAAAAATGTGGGACCCACTGAATTTTTATAAAAACTCACCCGTTTCTTTTCGTTTCTTCATTCTTCGTGTGCGTGAGCTGAGACTGAAAGAGCGTCTAGTTTTACCGGTGCGGGAGATCTGAGTTTTTAAGGTAAAAGTTTTTAATAGGATATTTAGGGTGTGATTTTAAGCTTTTTAAGATTAAGTAAGTGTTCTAAAATTTTTTCTTAGTCATCCTTCTTCTTTGGTTCTGATTTTATAGTGGTAGAAAATTTAAGATCTGGAAGAGGGATGAATTATGTTGAATAAATATGGTTTTTGAGGTTGTTAGTATATAATAAAATATTCTAGAGTATAAATTTATTAGTGATATTTGAATTTGTGGATTATGGATCAAATTCTAGACTAGATCTGAAAATATATGTTGATTTATTGAGGTTTAGATGATTATTTGGGATGAGAAATGAATTATTATGGCTATAGAATTATGATTCTAAGCTAGAGACTTAATTTTTAATTTTTGAGTATTTTAGGTACGAATTTATGAAATAAAAAGAAAATTTTGATAATAAAAATTAGTTTGAAGTGATTTTTAGATTATTAATGTTTATTGGTAATTATAAGAGGAGTTAAAAATTTTACTTAATAGTATTAACTCTAGATTTGTATTAAGATTGAGATTAGGATTATGTATATTTTTAATTCTATTATTAGAATTATTTTATTAGTTTCAAATTGAAACTAATATTTAAAATAATATGTTATTTGTAGATTGTATTACTGGTGAAGATTGTGGTGAGAGAGAAATTTAAGAAATAATTTATTGAAAAAAGCCACAAGGTAACCATGCTTTTAATTTGTGATTAGTGTTACTTCATGTTAATTGGGTGATTATTGAGAAAAATTATGAATTTTGTAATATTGTATAATTGTGCAATATTATATGAATTTGTTTAATTATTGTGGGAGGTGTTGGGAGACTTGCTATTATTGTTGTATTTATGTGCCACGTGGTACGTCCCTATTGGAGCTCAATCGGTGGCTTGTAAGGGCTCGGGCTAATCTACCTTTGCCCGGGTAATTTAGCACCAAGTGAGGGCTACGGCTCGAGGTTAATGGAGGGATATAAGGATGGTTATTTGTGCATATTGTAATATTTCTTATATTTGTTGGAATTATATTATTTTTAATTCTCACTTAGTAAGCACACACTTAATTGTTTGTATACACTATCATAAATTGGCTTTGGTTACTGGGACTTTTGAGTCTCATTATGTGGTTAACAATTTTCAGGAGAAGAGCCACGAGTGACACGTGGAGGAGTCCCAGAGGCTTAGTGGTATAGATTCACTGTCTTTTTGGGTATTTAATTTATGATTTATAATGTGTTATATTGCCAATATTAAGACTTTTTTTTGTTTATTGTCAATTATATGACTATATAAATGTAATCATGCCTTTCAAACTATTTTTATTTTTGGTACAATTTGGATGACTGTAATTTTATATTTGGTTTACTTTGGATTGGTTAAAAATGCATCATGATTATAAGGCCAAATAACTGGCTTGTGTTGAAAATTTATTAAATTGCTTTTTTACTTGTTGGGAGTATAAGGATGGACAAATGTGATTTAGTTTACTTGTTGGGAGTAGTATAAGGATGGACACAATGTGATTTAGCCTAATGGCATGTGGGAGGTAAAAATTTATCTGAAATGTCATAGTGTGTGAGTTGAAACCAATTATAAAATATTTTATATTAAAATTATTGATATAAAAATGTGTTGGGTGGCTGTAACCCAACTATGATTGATTAAATTATAAAAAAAAAATTTGGTGTGTTGTATTTAATAGTTCCATAACTTGATTTAAAATTCACCTGCATAATATCATAAATAAATCCAAGGTGCGGAAGCTATTTGGGGGGAAGATCCTTTTAGAAATGAGAGGAAAAAGTAAAAACGAAAAAGAGTGAGATTGATAGAGAAAGAGAAGGGGGAGGGGGTTAACTAAACCACAGTACGGAAGCTATTTCTCATTAACAAGAATCAGATTTCCGAGCTTCGCTTGACAGAAAATTCCATGGAAGTCACTATGCATCGGAACAAGTACACTTATCTATTGCTTGACCTTGGAAGGCTATGCCAGACCAAAATAGTCGGCACGATCTCTGACAAGCTGTTGATGATGATATGACAAATGGCGTCAGTGGCAGCTTATTAATCTCAAAATGTGTAATGCAGCCCTTGCATCAGTAAATATGCCAATGTAAAAAAAAAAAAAGATAACATTATACGAGAAGAACTGGGTTGATGGCATATTTCAATTACTTCCAGTTAGATTTAGAGGAAGTTGCACGGCTACCATCACAGCATATAACATTCAGACGACGATAATGAAGAAAACAAAAACAAGAAACTTTATTCCATTGGATGAGCTGATTTCATAAATTGTACGATGCTGTTAAGATCAACCATATATTAAATTTTTAAAAATATTATTAATTAAAAGGTCTCAATCAATAACTTTTAAAAATATTTTTTTTATCCCTCTTAATAAAATTTAAAATTATCTATTTTATTTTATTTTTTGGTGCTGCTCGCGATCATTTTTTTTTATATATCTAAATCATCTTAATAATTTTTATTATTTTTTTCTCAATAGATACTATGCTCATTTTTTCACGTATGTACTCATTTCAGACTTTATCTTTACATGTATGTCTGCATATCCATCTCAACATTCTTATTTCTGCTACTTTAATTTTATGCTTTTACTGTCTCATTAAAAACTAACAATCACCATCATATAATATAACTGATCTTATAACAGTTCAATAAACTTTTTTTTATATTTATTAAGTATTTTATGATTGAAAATAATTTTTTTTAACTTTTTTTCAACTAAACCACACAATTTGTATTTTATGTGCAAAGCATATAACAATCAGATGAGAAAGAAAAGAATAACAAACAACTTCCCTAATTCCCAAAAATGTAAGAGAAAATGAGAGACTTGAAGATGAAACTTCTGGTGTTAGTATATGGATGGAGGAAGCATATACCCCATCAACGTGCTTCCCCCCACCCCCTCTTTTCCATCATTTACATTTGTTCCTTTCAATTTTAGCCCCGAAACCCAAATCATCTGATGCTAATTCTTCTACATTATTGACTGTAAAACTGAAAGGTTTAAATGCATCAGACAGAAAAATTCACCACAAGAGACAGGAAGGAAAGAGGGATGGAATCCAGCATGAACTACCAAGCATCAGAACGAAGAAATAAATTTCAAAGCCAGATGGGTCACAAAAATTGAAGCCCCTGTTTCCAAGAAAATCCCTTATACCCTCAACAACTACAACGAATTTGCAACATGCGTCCTGATCTATATTCCTGCTGCAAGTTATGAAAAAGCACATGGGAGGGACTCAAAATGGAAATCCTAGACAAACATGCTTCCTCGATGATTCTGCTAATCTCTTCACTTCTTTTGCCTTCATATAGAACTCCAACAACTCATTGGCCACTTCCTTGCTATGGCATTCGATGAATGCCTTCATGAACCTCTTTTCTTTCATCCTCAGAGCACTAATCACTGAAGGCTGTGTACATTTCAACTTAGAATCCATGTCTCCTATCTTCCTCATCAGGAAAAACCGAGGTTTCAACTTGTTATCTAGGTTTAAAAACAAGAGATGTGGATTCTCAAGAACTATTTTCGCTTCCAAATTAATTGTGCCCAACACGAACGTCATGTTCCTCTGAACCTTTTCAATTGACAGTGTCAAGACAAAAGGAGACCGCCCAATAAATTGAAATATCTCTTCATCAGAGAAACCAAATTTGGCAAAATGTGCCATCTTCTCACGGATTGTTTCCAGACGAGAGACGCCAATTATTGCTACAACATATTTATACCTCTTTGAATCCGTGGTTAAACCAGTCTTGCGTATATATTCCAGCTTCTCCTCATTAAATGAAGTCCTCGAAATAAGTGTGGGCCGAGAACAGATCATGAAAAGAAAGTCATCTCTGTTTACACCCAACTCTTCATATTGTGCAAGAACAGGTTGAATGGTTTTGTTAAAATCATAGATTAAGAGTGAAGGATTCGTCACAAGGGCTCTCTTAAGCAATGCCTGCGACTCAAACAATGAATTAAGATATGAAAGCCTCTCGGCGAAGAAACGATTAACCCGGGAGCTAAGAAACCTTGGCCTACAATTGATTATCCTCACCAGGTCAGGGGCCTTTAGCCCGTAGCGACTTAGCAGAGCGAGCTTCGACTGAAGCAGCGCAGCTTTAGATTTGCGCAAACATGGGTTACGTTTCAAAATTTTCGCCAAATCCTCATCATTACAACCCCATTCCCTAAAAACTTGAACAGCATCGGTTGATTGAGCTGTAGTGTTTTTCGCTGCCTCTTCAACTTGGGCTAAGCATTTGGTCGAACAGGTGGCAGAAGTGAATAGTTGGGAAGGTTTCGCGGTCGAAGACAGCAGAAAAACGACGTGAGAAAGTTGATAAAAGACGAAGCATGAGAGCGCGCTTCCTTCAAATTCATATCAAAGTCAATTACAGTATTTTCAACTAGAAATTTTGAAGGCCGGGACTCGAATGGTCAGTGGCAAATTAGATTACAGTGAGTAATCCAGCAGAGTACTCCAAAGTATAATGACAAACCATACTGAACCTTCCTTTGGACGCGATTTCAGATACGATTACGAACCAGACGGTCTAGCCTGTCCAGATCTATCAGCCACCCGAATCGGGCGCTCGCACTGGGTTGCGTCTAGATCTCCGGGTTCTCATTCTTCTCCTCCTTCTGTTTTGGGCCAGGGCTAGAGCCTTGACCTCCAGGTTCAAACCATGTCGTTGTCTAGGTTTAATTTAAGAGAATATTTTTAGAATTATTATATTTTAAAATTTTCATTAAATGTGTCATAATATTTTTTTTCTAAATATGATATATTTAGTGAAAATTTTGTAATTAAATTGAACTATTTTCTATTAATATATCATTTAGTTAAAGTAAATTAATTATTTCACACAATATAATTATTATTTTGTGAATTTACTCTTGTAAAATACTTTTAGCAATTTGTTAAAATAAAATTGAATTTTTATATTATTCTAACATTTATAGAGTAAAACACTAAGTTCCATTTTGATTAACCCATCTCATTGAGATATTTCTTTTAGTTTGAAAAATCTATACATTACTCCGATTTTTTTCGGAACACATTACTGCAATTTATTAACATTACTAAATCCCTAATTCATCTAATTCTCTCAATCAATAAACTCCTTTCCGATCCATAAGAACTGTGGCAATTTGAAAGCACGAGCTACTTCTCAAAAGTAATTTCAAGTATATCAGACTCCACAATATAACTTTCAGTAGTTAAATTTGATTTGATTTGATTTGTCAAGTGTTTACTACCTAATAGCTAGGTAGACGGGAATATAATTTTAAAAATATAAACAAATTTCACTGTCCAAACCTCCTTATAAAGTTTTAGAATAAGATACGTGCGTGTGTGCGTGTCTTTTGGCCAAAAAAAGATGTACATGTATCTGTGTGATGTTAAGGTTTAGTACTTTGTAATAACAAGTAACAGATATGATAATGATAATGCTTTGATTAAAATAAGTGCGATTATAACTCCATCTGAAAAGTATGTATAACACTAATACATGCTTTAATTCTGTGAGATAAACACGAAAAGGAAATCAGATGCAGATGGCCACATTGCCAGAGGAATGATAAAAAAAAGCAAACCAGTCGCACTTAATGCGTGAGCACAGTTCTTCAATTGCAGATTTATTAGCAATTGAATTGAGTTACTTGATCAGACATCAAAGGAAGTCTAATAATAGCTTGCTTAGATCCAGTACAGTCCACAGTTTTTAATCCATGTTGCATAGTTATATTGAACGACAGCAAGTTACGCTGCTAGAATCACAACATATCTCCATCAGAAGAGGGGGAAAAACCAATAAGCAACATTCCATACTTCTAAACAATTTATGAGAACACTAGAGACATGAAGATGAAGTTTCTTGTGTCAGAGGAAAGGTCATATCCCATCGACCTAAAAATTCAAATGGCTTTCTATTGTGCAGCTCAATAGGAACATCTCAACGCATTCAAAAATAATAATAATTATAATAATAATAATAAATTGGTACAACAAGAATTGGATTTAACAAGAATTGGTTTGAATTCCTGCTGAGAAAGATGTGCTCACATTTAATACCTAACATACCTTGAACAAGATTGCGTTTAGTAAGAGCACCTATGCAAAAAAAAAAAAAAAAAAAACCTGGCTTCTTATCACTCAGCTTCATCGTTCAGGTTTACCCTGAAGCACTCTGTCATGGAGCAATTCCAAGTTCATTCATCTAGAATTTCATCAACCTGGATGCATCTCAATCAAGTTTAAGTGCGGTCGGTGTACTCCTCCAAGCTATATTTTACTATTTCCCCCACCTTGAAGCCCAATATGCACTTTTTTCACCAACAATATCCTGAATGCCAACTCACCATCAAGCATCATAAGGAAGGAACAAATTCGAAACTGCCAGATGAAACACAAAACTGACACTCCTGTTTCCAAGAAAACCCAGTCCATGTTGAACCAGTGAAAGACGCATCAGATATGTGTTGTGAACTTGTGATCTCAATTCAAAATGGAAAGCCTTTTTGAATAAACCTCTTTCTTGACCCTGCTAGACTCTTAATTTGTTTCGCTTTGGTATAGAACTCCATTAACTCATTGGCAACTTCCTTAGGTTGGCTTTCAATGAAAAACTGAACAAACCTAGTCTCTTTCATCCTCAAAGCGCGAATTATTGAACGGTGTGTAAATTCTAACTTAACATCCATGTCCTGTAACCTCCTTACTAGGAGAACTCTTGGCCTCAACAACGTATCCAGATTTATAAACAGGAGACGCGGGATTTCAAGAACAGTTTTAGCATCAAACTTCATTGCGGTCAATATGAAGGTCATATTCCTCTGAATCTTCTCGATTGACAGTGTCATGACAAGAGGATGCCGCCTAATAAGCTCAAATATCTCATCATCAGAGAATCCAAAGTTGGCAAAATTCGTTAACTTCTCATCAATTGTTTCCATACGATAGACGCCGACTATTGCAACCACATATTTATACAACTTTGAATTCGGGGAAAGCCCTGTCTTTCGTATATATTCAAGCTTCTCCTCATTAAATGAAGTCCTTGGAATTATTGTGGGCCGGGTACAGATCAAGGCAAGAAATTCTTCTTTCTTTACACCCAATTCTTGATATTTTGCAAGAGCAGGTTCAATGGAGTTAAAATTAAAGGTTAGGAGAGAAGGGTTAGTCACGATGGCTCTCTTAAGCAATTCCTTCGACTCAAACAATGAATTAAGATATACAAATCTATCATCAAAATAACGATGAACTTGACTAATAAGAAGAAACTTAGGCCTACAATTGATTATCCTTACCAAGTCAGGTGCCTTTAGCCCCAAGCGACTAAGCACAGAGAGATTCGCTTGAAGCAGGGCAATATCAGCTTTGCGCAATTGTGGGTTCCGTTCAAAAATTCTGGCTAAATCATCATCATTACAACCCCATTTCCTGAAAACTTGAACAGAGTCTATAGGTTGACCTGCAGCTTCTTCCTCTGCCTCTTTAACTTGGGCCAGACATTTTGTCGAACGGGTGGCGGAAGTGAATGCTTGCGAGGGTTTTGAAGCAATGCCTGTAGAGAAAGGCTGAAAACGACGTGAGACTGTTGATAGAGGACGAATCATTAGAGCGCGTCTCCTTCGAATTCATATCGCGCTAATCTCAGCATCCTCAACCCGAAATCTCGAATAAGGGACTCAGATGCCAGTATTAAAATTACTGTTACTACTCCCTGAACGAGGAATAAATGGTGACCTCGAGCTTCCACCAATATGGTTAACAAACCAACCTGAAACAAGGTCTGAGAACGAAATCATGATAGTTGGTGTAAAGAAATAAGGATTAAGAACAGTGAGGATAGAGAGAAAGCGAATATGAAGAGCGAAAAATGGCAGCCGCAGGGAAAGGCAACTACAGAGTGCTGACTGCTGAGATTGTGAAAGAAGACGGCTCGTTCTCGAATGCTAGGGCTGTAATTTAGGCCAGAAATGGGAGAAGGACAATTAGCGTGAATATGAATTCATAAGGGTCATCTGCACAACTCTCTCAAAGTTAGTTTCTGTCGCAGCCATTTAGCCTCTAGATAAACAGATCTCATCATCGCTTTCATTGTCTTTCAACCAAAATACTCATCATTGTAATTTTATCTTATAAAAAAATGATAGAACCCACTCCAACAAAAACAGAAGTAATGGCGTGTTAATAGCGAGATAAGGAGGCAATGCACTTCAAACAATTCAAGGACAAAAATAATTTAATGTCAACTTTAAGATACACGAAGAATTTAAAAAAACAATAGAGATAAAATTGATTCTTAGCTTTAAAAATTTATCCATTAAACAATAATAAGATGAGACTTACTATTATTAAAAAATTATGTATAGTAATTACAAGAAATTTATAGAGAAAATATATTTATAGGTCTTTATAGTTTTACTTAATTTTGAATTAAGTTTCTATAATTTATGTTATTTTAATTAAGCTCTTATAGTTTGATTAATTAAATTTTTTATTCTTAAAAGTTAGAATGCTTAAAATATTCCTTTTAAAAAATAAAATTAAAAACTTTTATGTTTTTATTTAATGATTATATGACTTTAGAATACATAATTTTTATAATTCAAAATTTATATATTTAAGTTATTTTTAAATATTTTTATACATATAGAATTTTTATTAACAATTAATAAAAATATAAACAGTATATTAATTTTTTTTAAATTTCGGCTAAAAGTTTGTAATTAAATCTTCTGTAAACTTCAAGAGTGCTTTTATTTTGTAAAATTTGATAATTCATTAGTAAATTTAATCTTCAAGAGTTAATATATATAATAAATCAAACTATAAGAATTCAATTAAAACAAAATAAAATATATAAAATTAATTTAAAATTAATTGAAATTATAAGCACTTGTAGATATATTTTTCTAAATTTATATTTATTATACTTAAAAATTGAGGAATTTAAAAAAATAAAAAATGGTAAAAAAAATACTTACAGTGTATTGTGTGAAAAGTAATAAGATAGAATTTATATTTTTTTATTAAAAAAAGGACAAAAACGCAAAATATGATGGAATCCAAATTGATATTATCATAAGCTATATGATTTATGTTCGTTTTTGGTCTAATGGGAATTTAAATGACTTATTTTTGTGATGATATGTCAAATCAAATTCAAGTGTGTTTCCAATATCATTTATTTTCTTATGATTCATTATCAATATCGGGCATTCAGGGTATTGTCAAATCATTAGTTTTCTTTAATTCTTGCAGTCTTGTACAAATTCATCAAGTCACTGTGACCATGGCACAAACATAAAGTTTCAACTTTCAAATGATGCGTACAATATCTTTTGTTCACTGATATGTATTATAAACATTTTGTTTCTAAAAATTAGCTTTAGCATCTACAATGGCTTGACGATATATCCACTTATTAATATTAATACAAGTTTGTATCTTTCATTTCAGAACAAAGGATAGAAGAAAAACCTAGGAAAAATCACTGTCAACTTTCTCACAAGAGAAGAAAAACAAGGGCAAAATAACAACCTGATTGTATGAATATAACAACTTAGTTGAAAGTAAATGATAACTTGACTTGAGATAAGAAAATAATTACTTGAATATATGTAACTTGGATTTATGAAAATAACAACTTGGTTTAACGCAAATGACAACTTATTATTTTTTTTAAATGCAAGTTGTTAGTTTCATAAACTTAATCAAATTTTAATGTACTTAAATCTAAGTTATTATTTACTTACTATTTTCTCCCAGAGGGCTACCATTTTTTTCCCTTTAGTCACGTATTTTTAATATTTAATTAATATCAACAAAACAAAGAAGTTTAAATATTTAAATGTTCCTTTTGTAAATCTCAAATCAAATATTGTCAATATATATAACAAAATTGATTAAAAAAGTTAACGTTAACGTACAAACTACATAGCATAAGGCTGATGGGCTGCTGAGAGTCAAATCAAAATAAGGGGTGGGGGGGGGGGGAATTGAACCAAGCATCTGCCGAAACACTCCCTTAATTAGCCAGTAATCATTGAACTTGAATCCGTCCACAAAGACTTTAGAACAAGAATTCACGAGAAGGAAAAGGACTTGAGAGTTGAGACCAAATCAAATCCTTATAATAAAAATTTAAACAATTGATCGATATGAAGTTGATATCAATCTGGGTTTTGCCAAATGCCGCCGAGACAGTTAATGTTATTAACTAGGACCAAAACCCAAATAACAACAACAACAACAACAACAAATACACAGAACAAAATGTTACGCCATGAATAAATATCATCAAAAAGCTTCATGAAATACTGAGTTCTAGCTGGTTATGCCCTTTGCCTCTCCACCATGTCTGTGAAGAGTAATCTTGAGGTTGTGTTATGGGTTCTTATTGTGGGGATCCTGGGGATTTGGAGAATTTTTTGTGATGCACAAGACACGAGTGACCATTTGATGCCAGGTGATCAGCTAAATCACACAAACCCTTCTACATGCTCAGCCAGGGGCCATCATTGCATGGCTTTCAAGAAAATAGCAAAGTACTATGACGCTCCCTTTTACTGCCTATTAGTCTACAATTCAAAGAATGATGATCCTCCAGTTTGGATTGCCAATCCCAATGATCGAAGTCTCAATACTTCTTTAGAATCCGAAGCTTTAACTTTGGATCATTCTGGCGTGATGAAAATTACGCACCAAAGTCAAGAGCCTACTATCCAATTCTCTCCTCCTCCAGATCAACCTCAAGATCTCATCAACAACACTTATGCCACCTTGTTGAGTACTGGAAACTTTGTCCTGCAACATCACCACCCAAATGGAACAAACACTGTCTTGTGTCAGAGTTTTGATTATCCCACTGATACTCTTGTTCCAGGAATGAGGTTAGGCGTTAACCACAAAACTGGAAGAAACTTGTCATTAGTTTCATACTTTCGTGGGATGCCTTATCCAGGTCCTTTCACATTGGAATGGGAACCAGAACGAGGCAATTAATCATTAGGAGAAGGGGGCAGGTAATGAAGGATAGAGAATAATGTTGACATTTCATTTACTATTTGTAATGTTGGTATAGAATACCCTTAAATAGGTTTTTAGTCGAACAAAATAGTTAAAGGACTCTATTTTTGAGTTCCATTAATATAAATTTAGGTTAAAGGATACATTTAGTTCTTTAACTTTATATAATATTTTATTTTAGTCTATTAAATTTATAAAGTGTTTTTTAAATTCTTTAATGCCAACACTGTTGTTTTTATCCCAATAAATTTTTTTATTGAACTTTCAAAGATTGACATATTGAGTTTATTTTCTTAATAACAATAATCGGTACAAAAAACAATCACTTGAAACTAATAATGTTAGGATTAAAAGATTTAAAAAATATTTTACAAAATTAAAGAATTGAATTAAAATTTTATATAAAGTTAAAATATTAAAATTATAATTTTTAAGTGTTTTTGCAATATCTTCAATAGGTTTATTGGGCAAGCGGGGTATTTAGAAACGGGAAGTTCCAGAGCATGTCAGAAGAAGCCCAAAGCTCCTATAACTACACCATTGTCTCAAAAGAAGATGGAGAGTATCTCATGTTCGTACCTCGAAATGATGCGAATGAAACAGATGAACATGCAGAATGTGGTCAATCGATTATAAGGGATGTTATTTCAAAGCAGTGGGTCATTCAAGCAGCTACTAAACATTGTATTGATGAGTATCATGATGAATCATTCGGACACTAATATCTAGTGATTAATAGATTCTATCGTATCACTCATATTCCTTTGGTTAGTTTTGGCTCCGATTAGAATTTAAACTCCAAATGTTTAAAAGTACTGTCTAATATGTTATGCTAATTATACAGGGATCCCATCACCAGAGAAAAGTTCAGGGCCAGTAAGACCTTACCAAGAATCAAATTCAAATGCAAAAACAGACAAATTACTTATTGCTGTCCCTGTGATCACTCTATTCATAATATCTGCAATTGTGTGGTTGCTCCTATTAAAGAGGAAACTCAGGGTCAAAGGTACACAATAATTACATGTAAGTAACCTATCATAAATCCTAGAGTTGAATTTACATCTCCCATTCAAACTTCAGCAGAAAGTCAAATATCAGAGATGGAGGAAACTTCAAATGGAGTTGCAAATGCAAACGACATACAGAACTATGATAAGAATGGACGTTATTTGAAAATGTTTAGTTATGCATCCCTCCTGAAAGCTACAGATTGCTTCTCATCAGAGAACAAGTTGGGAGAGGGAGGCTTTGGACATGTTTATAAGGTATAGCCCTACAGGGTCATTCCAAATGAATTATTTCAATTGATAGATAAATTAAGATATATTATGATCAAGTCATTAATTTTTATTTAGGGAAGACTACAAACAGGGAAAGAAGTGGCTGTTAAAAGACTTTCAAGAAGCTCTAGACAAGGAATGACAGAATTCACAAATGAGTTGAAGCTAATATCGGAACTCCAGCACGAAAATCTTGTCCAGCTACTAGGTTGTTGCATTCAAGGAGACGAGAAAATTTTAATTTATGAGTACATGCCCAACAAAAGCTTGGACTTCATCTTATTTGGTAAGAAAGACATCCTCAATCTATGCATGCTTTTCAAGAAGTTACTAAAACCAAATGGTATTTGCTTGCTAAGCTTATTGTTTGTCTTCCTCATCCGTTGTTGACAATTTTCTTTCAAAGATCCTACAAGAAGCAAGCTACTTGAATGGAAGAAAAGACTCAACATAATTGAAGATATCGCTCGGGGATTACTGTACATTCATAAATACTCAAGATTAAAAATATTGCATAGAGACTTGAAAGCAAGTAACATACTACTCAATAAAAAAATGATCCCCAAAATTTCTGATTTTGGTTTAGCAAGAATTATTGCACAAGAATCAGAGGGAAACACTAATAGAATTGTTGGTACATTGTGAGTACACATTGGCTAAAGACTTTTTGTTTTCTATTTAATTCTTGTACTATTTAAATAGCTACTGCATTATATTTCCTTTTTGCATTCGATTTGTCTATATATATATTTAGGTTGTATATGTATGCATGCAAGCATGC